ATACTCTTGGGAGGTGTGTGTGTGTGTGTGTGCATGCGTGTGCATGCGTGCACTTGTGAGTGTGAGTGCGTGTGTGTGCGTGTGCGCGCGCACACACGCACACACACGCACCCATGCTTGCTCAGGGCAATGAAGACTGCATTTTGACTGCATGGTGCCAGGTGCACACCACATAGAGGTTGAGGATGTGTTGGACCCCAGAAATGATCTAATAAGGTGGAGGGGATGTGTCTTGATGCTTGGGGATGCCTGGCCTCTACCCCGCCCCCAATCTCGAGTGCCATTCTCTCTTATCTGTCTTTGGTTTCCACACTCTCAACTCTGGCATGCAGCCTTTTTCTCGATCGTTTTCAAGCAGAATGTTTATAGCCACCCTGTGCTGTACATGAGATTTTCTCCTTGACAGTTTGCAGGGATTAATTCACAGAATTAGAAGAGGCCTTGTTTGCCCACGAACAAACCAAGGGCTAAACAGGTGAGGCCATACTGCAGACTTGATGTGGCCCACGGTGAAGACTGACCTTTCTGCTCATGGCTCTCCCGAGTGAGCTACCTCATAGTCCCAGTAGCGAAGTAACCACCTCTTGGGCAACTCTGGAAATCAAGGATGCTCTTTCTTCTGCCGCTAAGTCTTGTCTTCCTGAGCCTCTCACTTTTGGGGGAGTGGAATTTGAAAGGTCACGTTGGGTCTGGTCTTAGGCCTCTGCCCTCGAGAAGGGGAAGCTTCTGACATCCCTAAAGGAAATAAATAGGAAGAAAAAAAAATGGTTAATTCTATACCTGGCTGATTTTCCCTGCTGGCTTACTTAAAATGAAAACTGTTATTCTGTGCAGGGTAATGGCGAGGAACCCCAGCCAGGCCTTCTGACTTAACCCCAAGGATTTGGGGGCTCTGGGTGCACAGGAGTCTGTGCCCTCAATTCCCGCTCCCTTGTGATGTCTTCACACAGTATCAGAAGTAATTTAACTTGAGCAAAGGCTGTGGGAGGCCCCTGAGCTCAGCTTGAAGAGAAGGGGATATTTTTGCCTCCTAGAGGAAGAAAACTCTTTTTCCCAGTGCACCCCATCCCTCCTTCCTCCTGTTCAGATGAGCTTAATTTTCTTCTCCTCTTAATGAAGATGGATGAAAGCCAAGCTACACAATCGGGGGGGGGGGCAGTCAGAGAAGCTGAGTGAGGGGCGAAGTCAGGGGACAGAAACAGAGCTTCCCTCCCAGAGAGGAAGTAATTAATTGTGAGCGAGAGCTAAGATAGGGAAACCCTTGGTACCAGAATACCAACCTTCAAATGCAGGGGGCTAAAAATGACGCTGGCGTCTCTCTTATCTGTTCATTTGTACATTCAACAAAACTTTATTGAGTATCTGTGATGGGCAAACAAGGAGGCTCAAATGACAGGAGACAGGTTCAACCCCAGACCTAAGGCCTCCTGCCACCAAGATAAATCAATGACCAGAGAATCCCACTAAATGACTGAATATATTGACCTTTGGGATTTAGGATTAGCTGTTTCAATATCAGCAGTCACAGTCCTTCCCAGTTACACCTGGCCAACCGGTCTTTTTGTGGGTTAAATAATAACATTGCCCACTTATTTTTCTGTTTACTGATCCCATTGTTCCGCTGACCTCAGCCCAAATAATTAGATCAGTCCTACCCTTTGTCTACTGTGATGTCACAGAGTTGGCATAACAACAGACCATGATGTCAACACAATGTCCTGTGCTGCAAAAAGAAACTGCCTTGGTCAGAAAGGATGCTGCCATGTGAAATAGAAACGCATGGAAGGCAGAGGACCTGAGAGCATCAGGAAGAGCATCTTGGCTGTTTAAGATGACATTGAGCCTGGGTCCTCCTTTGCTGGAGCCCTTGACAAACCTCCAAGGCTCTTAGGAGGCCTGATAGATAAGAGAATAAGCTTGTCTGGAGGCAGGGGGATGTGGAGGTGACCTTCAGAAGGCCTTGCAGCCCAAGAATCCTAAAGCACAGAGGCCAGTGAGGAAGAGGAGATTTGATTAGCCCTGACCTATTCGGGAGAATGAGCATCCATGCAAACCTCCTAGCTGAGCAGAGCAGCAGATCTGACCGGTACCAGCTGGAATTTATCATCTGGCATCTGGGAAGATTCGCAGCAGTAGATACACAATGCCCTCCCCTCGAGCCCTGTTCCCTGCCCTCTTCCTCACCAGCCTTGGGAGAGAGGTTTCCTTCCACTCCTGAGTAAAGAAGCTGATCTTTGCCGGCAGCTGGGGCTCCACAAACATCCCGCCCATCCCGCTTGGGCTGCTTATATACAGCTTCTTACCAGCTGGGCCGGCAAGCAAGCCTTGCTGCTGGAGAGGGGAGTGTGTCAGGCCGGTTGTACAGCTGCTCCTGTCCGTGCAGATGAAAGCTGGGCAGGCTGAGAGGTGGGCACGGAGACTTCTTCGATTCTCCGCAGCTTCTCAGCAACAGCAGCAATAACAGCCAATGAACCGGAAGCATCCTTTAACCCTCAGAAGGACTTGGAAGGTTTCTGAAGCAAGTTGGTTTGCAGCCCCAGAGCCTGTGTCTGGGCTCGGCAGAGCTGGAGAGGCTGGAGCACCGTCTCCCTGCAGGTCGGGCTGGCATGCGTTTCTGTGCAGATGGGAATGCAGCCCGTGCTCCTCCGCCCGCCCAGCTGCTCGGTGTCCTTAGCTCAGTGAGGTCGGACTACCTGGAAGCCGTACACCTGCTCCGTGCATACCTCTCTCCATTTCTGCATTTTCTTCTTGGGAGGGAACCTGAACTGGGAGGAGATTCTCTCTTCATTTATTCTGCCTCTGACCCTCTAACTATAGCATCGAAGGCGAACGCTAGGAAGCCCCAGCCCCACTAGGGCACCCGGGCAACCCCTCCCGTTGCCCACAGGGAACCCTGTCCCTGTTCTCCAGTGCTAGCGCCAGGAGAAAGGGCAGCCCAGGGAACCTGCCCCAGCCCGCCCTGTGTCTCTGCCACAGCATTAAGAGTTGCAACCAAGGACTTCCTTCTCAGAGGGATGGTAGCAGCAGGGCGGCTGGGTGGCTCCTCTGAGGCTGCCGAACTGGGGACTGGGCTTCCAAAAGGATGTTGAAGTTTCGGGCTGATCGACGGGTCAGGTAGGAATCTCCTCTGTGGACCGTGAGCCCAGTGAAATCAGAGCAGGCCAAGCTGGTTGCTCATCCTGTTTGAATTCAGAGCTTGGCGGTAAGGGGGTCTGTCGGAGATGACCATGGACTGAGAGGGGAATAGTTAGGTCAGTGGCTACTGCATTGCAGTGCCTGTGGAGGAAAAGCTATTTTGAAATTGTTAGCAGCGGGTGGAAAGAGGCCATTGTTTGTGGGGTGGCTGGGTAGGAGGCTCAGGCCTGGGAGAGGTGTGTGCCATGCCCTGGAAAACTGAGCTGGACAACAGCAGATTGCTTCTGTGTAAGACTGTCTGAACTGTTTCCTGCAGGGTGCTCCAGGAACACAGACAGAAGGAGCCCGGAGGGCTAGAGTGGGTGGGAAGCAGGTAGACACTTCACACATAGGGAAAACAAAGAATTTGCCATTTTAAGAACCTTGGTTGTCCCAGATAGCTGCCCGTGGCCTTGTTGGGAGCCAACGCCCGAGGATGAGGGTCACAGGCAGGTATTTTTCCTTGCAAAGATTCCCTGTGATGGAATCAAGGGAGCATCCTTATAAGATTCCGGAAGGAGGAGGGACTCGCTGAGGAACTAGAAGGTGGTTACCGAATGTGCGGAGTTTAAACTCAGGCCTGATGTATGCTGGTCAGGTTTTAGGTCCAGTCCAAGCGACACACTCCAGGTATCCAGAGGCCAGAGCCGTTGTCTGCTGTGTGTCTTTCTCCTGCCCATCTGGGTTTGATCTGAACAGCACTGGTTGGGCATAAAAGGAAGCATCATTTGATATTATCTTTAGCTCGGCATCCCGAGGGCTGAGATGTGTCCTGGAGTAGGGGGAGAGGGCAGAAGGGACCAAGTTAAGCATCCTTTGCTAAGGCGCTGGCTGGCCTGAGGTTGGTTCAGCAGAGAGCCATCTCTGGGTTGTGGGAGTACTTGGGGACCTTTAGCAGTCTCTGTCCCCATGCCTGCGCTTATGGTCGGTCAAATGGAGTCTGTGCTTGGCTCTCAACTTCTGCAGGTGGCAGGGAGGAAGGCCTTTAAACTGGTCTCACCCTTGTGAGTTAAACACTAGCACGTTCTCGCCAAGTGGTCCCCACTTAGCAAAACCAGGGCTCCCTGGAAGATCGATCTCTCTGCTGCTTCCCTTCTGCATGTCCCCTGAGAGCTCACCCAGGAGTTGGCTTGACATCCTGTCAGCCAGAGGTGCCTTCTCCTGATGCTCCCCTCTGCCTCATTCCCAGCCCCTGGGACTTGCTCCCCGGCTTCTTGGCAGGCTCTCTGCTCAACACCCAATCCCTGTAGCAGCCCTCCATCAGGTACAACTGTTAGGCCAGCACTGACCTTGGTGCTAGACAGCTCCTGGAGGTTCTGCAATGCCCAGCCCAAGCTCAATCACGGAGTTTCCGAATTTCCTGATAACATTTGAAGAAAGAGATGGCGCTTAGAGCAGGAGAGGAGTTCAAGGTCACAAGGGAGTTCTTTCAGCCAATTAGGAGCAAGCATTTTCTGTGTGGAGAACTGACAGGCTCTGTCCCTGGGAGGGAGGCTGCTGCATGAAATCTCGACTGTGTCAAACTCAGGCTTGGAGAGCCCCATCTCAGCCTCCCTCCCATCCACGGGATGAACTGACTACAGCTTGCTGCCAGCCTGGGACCTGTAGCAGGTGGTTAACGCTGAGCCAGCGAGAGGTGACCAGGCTTTATTCTCTCTCTGACCCCACCCACCTGCACCACCCAGTACTCCAGCCCAGCCATTCCCCTGTCCCTAAAGACCCCACTGGGGATGTGCCGCAGCTGCTCCTGTGGTCCACCGTCCTTTGTATTGTGACTCTGACCTCCCTAGCTGATGGTAGCTCTCTTCCTTCTCTGTCCTCTGCAGCCACAATGGAAGACGCAACACATTTCAACACCCAGTGACTGGCCAGGTCCCAGAGGAGAACAAAAAGTTTAACTTGAAAATGTAAGTTTCCCTCTGCTTGCTTTCTTGTCCTTTGCCATGACTGCCCTGCTGCTACCAAGGAAGTATTTGGGGCCCTTACCTCAGCTTCAAGGACCACAAACCTCTGGGCCACATCTCTTGACCCCTCACACTGTTCCTGAGTAATGGCGGAGAGCGAGTTGGTGTTTCCCCCAGGCGGAGCTGAAGGGATAGAAACTGGCTCTGGGGGGGGGGGCGATACCACTGGGAGCCGCTGAAGGATTCACAGGGGCTATGATGTGATCCGGAGGTCTAAATGATCATGCTTCACTTGGAGTCCTGCCTCACTGAAGGGAAGACGAGGATAATTCAGAGACCACGGAGCTATTGTGCCTTTGATCAATGAATCCCCCCACCTCTGGGATCAAATACATGGCTTTATATATGCTGTTGAACCTTTAAAATAGGACGCAGGCCTGTTGATTACATGCCTGGAATCCCTGCTTCTTGGGAGCTTGAGGCTGGAGGACCTTGCCTATATAGTAAGCCCTGCCTCAAAATAAGATAAGAGCAATGGTAATCTATTTTCTCAGAGTCTAGATTTTTAAACAGGAGAAAGCTGCATGGGGTGGCACATGCCTATAATCCTAGAATTTGGTACAAAGATGCAGGAGGATCCAGAGTTCAAGACCACTCTCAGCTACATATAAAGTTTGAGGCCAAGCTGGTCTACGCGAGACCCTATCTTTTAAAACAATAAGCCAGCCAGGCATTGGTGGCGCACAACTTTAATCCCAGCACACGGGAGGCAGAGGCAGGCAGGTCTCTGAGTTCGAGGCTACCCCATGAGTTCCACGAGCTACACAGAGAAACCCTGTGTCAAAAAACCAGAACGAAAAAACAAACAAAACACAAGCCAAATCCATAAGTGAACAGAGAAGAAATGGGAGATTATTCCAGAAGGAGCCGCTGGGATGACTTCTGAGCTGCACCTCAGGCCAGAACTTTGTGCTGGTGCGGGGAACAGTGGCTAGCAGGGCAGGGGCAGGCTTGGTGCTTCCGGTTGCTTCGTGGCTCTGACTAATTTCCCTGTGTTGTTGACTCGAATTCAGATCGGCCTTGGACATGTCCAACAAAGCAGGTGGGAAACGTTCTGGTACCGTCACGGAGAACTCCAACATCAGGATGGTATCGGAGGATCCTCCAGAGCGGCCCAACATCCGGGTAAGTCCAGCCCTAGGCAGGCTGCCAGGGAAGAAATGGTGCAGTTAGGAGGGTCACAGGGTCTCTAGGAAAATCCTTGCCCGCCCAGCACATCTGTAGGTTCCAGGGGGCAATCAAGGATAGAAGAAAACCAGGCAAGCACCTCACAGAAGATGGGGCGCCACACACGGGGTTCTGTGCCTCAGCTGACTAGTGTTTGAGACGGACACTTTGTGGGTGGGGCTTTCCAGTGGTATAGGCTGTCAAGCAGCACCCTGATCTCTACTCATAGGACCCCCTGCTCTGTTCTCACGACCAAAAGTGTCTGCAGCTGTTGTCAGGGTCCTCTGGGGACAAAATCTCTCCCATTCTCCTAAGGACCACTGACCTCAGGGGACAGCAAAAGGACTGGGGGGGGGGGGTCAGCATGGGAAGAGGAGCAAAGGAGACCCTGGGAAGAAGAAGCCATCCATTGAGAGAGCGATGGGATGTGTCCTCTGGGCTCAGTGACTGTGGAACTTAGAGACTTGGACAAGCAGTTTGAGAGGCGTGGTGAGCACAGAAGGTTGAGAGGGGATGGGGAATGCAGGGAAAACCGCTAAGAGAGCAGCAGCCCCAGACCGTGTGCAGTGTGTTCATGCAGAGCGCTCTCCCTAAGAGCCGGGTGTGTGTGCGTGCGTGCGTGTGTGTGTGCGTGCGTGTGTGTGTGCGCGCGTGCGTGTGTGCGTGTGTGTGTATGTGTGTGCGTGCGTGTGTGTATGTGTAGGGGTGTGTGCGTGTGTGTACGTGTGTGTGCGTGTGTGTGCGTGTGTGTGCGTGTGTGTATGTGTGGGGGTGTGTACGTGTGTGTGCTCGTGTGTGTATGTGTAGGGGTGTGTGTGCGCGCGTGCGTGTGTGTGTTTGCGTGTGTGTGTATGTGTGTGTGTGTGGGTGTGTGCGTGTGTGTGTGCGTGTGTATGCGTGTGTGTGTGCGTGTGTGTGCGTGTGTGTGTGTGTGTAGTAACAAGGGTGCATTGGAAACACAACTGTGCAAGTTGCAGACTCTGAACAATGTATTGCTTACATAAAGTGCACAAAGATGGCGAGTGGGACTGTGTATTTATAGACACTCTGCAGTCCAAGCGCAGAACCATGCGCAGCAGACTGGTTCGGGGTCAGTGGCTGCCTTTAGGGAAAGGAAAGGTAACAAGACCCAGAGGAACTCAAAGGGAGGTCTGGGTCTACTTGCCTTTTCTTATTAGGGGGATAAATAACAACCGCAACAGGAAGGGATGATTGTAGTGATATTCTCTGCTTTTGTGAAACACTTGAAATAGTTCAGAAAGGTGTTTTTTCTTTTTAGTGTGCATGGAGGTACCTGCAACATTGGGTGGATGCATGTGTCTGTGGACCCCAGGGATGTCATCTTCATGTGCTTTTCAAACCTTATTTTTTAAGCCAGGCTCTCTCACTGAACCTGGAGCTCATTGAAGCCCCAGGGACCTTCCTGTCCCTTCCTCTCTACTGCTGAGATCACAGGCTCCGCCTTTTAAAAATGCATGTTTATGTTAATGATGTGTGTCTGTGTCTGTGTGAGTATGTCCTCATATGTGTGCCCACACACATATGGGATGGTTCTGTAGTATTAGCGGGAGGCTGTGCTGGACTTCAGAGACTGAGTCTGGAGTGGGTGGAAGAGGGCGGATAGCCTTACCCCATGGGAGCACTGAGAGCTGATAGGGCCTGTGTACTAAGGGAGCAGAAATTGGGTCATAGAGCCGGCCACATATTGCAGACCTGATCTGTGTGTACAGAGAAATCTCAGTTCTACGTGATGAGTGCTGCTGAGAAAATTAAATGTTTTTAATATCGTAAATGTGAGAGCACTGTGTGTGTGTGTGTGTGTGTGTGTGTGTATGTGTGTGTGTGTGTGATGTTGCCAAGGATGGAAACTGGTGTCTTCTCCCTGCCCCCCCCCACCCCCAACACGGTTTCTCTGTGTAACGGCTCTGGCTGTCCTGGAACTCACTCTGTAGACCAGGCTGGCCTCGAACTCACAGAGATCCACCTGCCTCTGCCTCCCAAGTGTTGGGACTAAAGGTATGTCACCACCACCTGCATGGTATCTTCTGCACAATAGGCGAGAGCAAGTGCTTTGCTACTGAGCCACACCCTGCCTCTTGGGGTAGCTCCCAGGCCAACAAAACTGTAAGGAGGGGAAGGGGGCTGGGCTAACTGCTGCCTTTGCCCCTCCAGGCGACTCGAACTTCCCGAAAAGCCATTGCCTTTGGTAAGCGCTCACACTCCATGAAACGGAACCCCAATGCCCCTGTCACCAAAGCTGGCTGGCTCTTCAAGCAGGTGAGGCCATATTGCAGCACAGCACTGTGGGTCTTCTGTAGTCACAGTAGCCCGTGTGTTCTTTGTTATGTTTTCCTGTTGTCTCTGAATGTCTCCCCACTGTATAAAGGTCTGAAAACCTCCCCAAAGTTAACAAGCATCAAATTTGGGGAGCCAAGATGAGGTTCCTGGCGGGCAGATGCAATGACTTTGAAATATGCCAGCTCCCACCAGAGCAACTCAGGGCACATGGCCTGCACACCCCCTTGCTGTGTGGGGGTGGGGTGGCTTCAAGTCCTAGAGTTTGACAACTTTCCCCGGATGGACACTGCTGTATCCTCATCCGCTCTTCTGCTCACTCATCCTCGGGTACCTTTTGCCCCCTTTACCCTCCCCCGGGGGTGGTCCGGGGCCTCGGAATGACAGAACTGGAAAGTCACGGGCAATAATAGTCTGATGTTAGTTCCCAGCATCTGAGATCTCAAGGGACTTGCTGCCACGTGCTAGTGGTACTGGCAGCGCTGCAGCTCGAGCCCGGATGTCCTTGTGCCTAGCGCAGAGCTCTGACTGTGTCTGCCTCCTTTCCACACCCAGCTCACGGCCTCCCCATCTGTCTCTCTGTGTCCTGCAGGCCAGCTCAGGGGTCAAACAATGGAACAAGCGCTGGTTTGTGCTGGTCGATCGCTGCCTCTTTTACTACAAAGGTGAGTGTCGCCTCCCCCCCCCCCCAGCGCTGCCAGGGCAGGGGGAGCTATAGACCACTCACTGTCTCTTCCTGTTGGGCTCTGCTTTGGAAGGCAGGTCTCTCCAGACAGGTTCCTAGCACTAGTAGGGTGTGGCAATGGGCATCATAGCTGATTCGTCCACTGGCTCATTTGATTCCCTAGCTGTAAATACGTATCCAGGAGGCAACAGCTCTGGGTACCAACTGATGATACAGTGGGTAAACAGGGCAAACATTTGCACGATGAGATTCCTGGATAGGAGGAAAACGAGGAGGAGGAGGTCCCTAGTTACTGTGTGTGAGCCACCTCCTAACGGAGGCTGGTGTTGATTTCCCTCCTGGCCCAACGGAACATGCAATCTGGCCTGGCATGTAAGACCGTCTACCATTTTATTTACTGTGAAGACCACAGCATAAAGGCGGGGCCTCAGGGAAGATGTTCAGGAAATGCTGGATAAACAAATTGGTCCTGGCCTCTACCCTCTGTCACCCATGCATTCACGGGAGGCTCCCCTGCCCCAACACAAGAGGACAAAGATCTGATGAGCTCTGGCTCAGCCTCTTCCAGGAAGTTATTCTAAAGTGTACACAGCAACATGTGTCAGGGTGAGCACAGCAGACCCAAGCAAAGGCTAATTAATGGCAATAATGGTGACCTCATATCATCAGGCTGCTGCAGGGGTAGGGTCGTGGTGGGGGGAGGTAGGAGGGATGAGAAGAGAGAGGTTGAGATAATCTCTAAGCAGGAGAGGCTGTGTGCTTCACTTACTAACCTGCAGTGATGGCTTCCTCCCGCCTCCTGAGAGCAGGATGGTGAAACATTAACTTCGGCAAATACATGTTGTGCCGGCTCACCCTCTGCCCTGGAGCTGCTCTTCCTGAGTTGTAGTCAAGCAGAGGCTATGGATAACAGGGACAGGGACAGAGGAAAGTACGGAATAAGAAATTTCCCCGCTCTAGAAGGAGCATGGGACAGGACTAAGGGAAGAGAAGGGCTGGGCATACCAAAGGATGCTTATGAGCCACAGTCGCAGGGTACCTTACATTAATCTATTTTCTGTGGCTGGGTAGTTGGTAAAGGAGGGAGTTTGTTTTGGCCTTTGGATCTGGAAGCTAGGGTGTCTGAGAGCTCGGTGCCAGCGTGATGAGCTGGGTGGGGTTCTGGGGGGGGCATTTGTATTTCTGTGTGGAAAACTCCTAGATGGTTTTCAGGATCTGTGGCCTAGGAAACAAATAAAAATACCGGGGAAGATAAGAAGGGCCTGCTGTGGCTTCATAGATGTCCCACATCTGTCCCAGCCTTTCTAGGTCCTGGCTGGGTAATTCTTCAGGGTCTAGGATGAATTGGTAGCAGCCTGACCCTGGGGTGTACAGCTTGACTCTTGCCTTCCTGTGGAGGTCAGGGGCCTTAATGGCATCCATAGCAAGATGGGCCTAGCAGGCCACTGGGATCCTAGAAAGAGTTACTCTCAAAATGTGGTGTGTCACAGCTGCAATGCTGTCTGTCACTGGGGATCCCAAGGCGGGGAGTCATGAGCCCAAGGCCAGTCTGGGCTGCTTGTCAACACAGGGCAGATAAAATGGGGGTAAAAGACGCTGGCTTTGGAGTCAGGTTTCCCGAATTTGAAGACTGATTTCACTTTTAATGGTTAAGGAACCTGGACAAATCACTTAGTATATCACTTGACCAGGGTGGGGGGTAGGGGGTGGGGTGAGGGTGGATAGTAGAGGCTCTGAGTGGGTCAGTTAGGAGTGTTGGATCTAATAAGGCATTGAACCAGCCTGATACAAAATGAATATCCTAGTAAGGTTGAAGAGCTCCCTGCCCTTACCTCTGCTTCAGCACCTTTTGCTCACATACATGGGCCTGTGCAAGCATACATGAGTGTGAGCACACGTGCACGCACACACACACACACACACACACACACACACACACACACACACACACGCCGCATGCACCTTTGTGCCTCTGTTTCCGTGACAGATGAGAAGGAGGAGAGCATCCTGGGCAGCATCCCCCTGCTGAGCTTCCGGGTTGCCTCTGTGCAGCCCTCAGACAACATCAGCCGGAAGCACACGTTTAAGGTCAGCTGGGCTTCCCCTTCTGGGGGAGGGGGGAGGAGGAGAGTCTGCTTTTGTAGAGGCTAGAGCAGGCTAAAGAGCGTGTCCCTTAGGAAGCCCCTGTGTGGTGGCAGAGAAGAGAGCAGGCAGTGACCCGCAGACTCATCTGGATGGCTGGGAGGCAAAGTGAGGCCATACTGCCTGGCAGCCTGCCCCCACCCCTCTACAGAGCAAAGCTGTGGTGGGGTGGGCTCATTCTGAAGTCTTTTCTGAATAGGTTTCCTTTCTACGTTGAGCCTAGGCCTATGGAGGCACCCCCCCCCATTTAAACTTACTCAAATTTTAACCTTTAGAAAATATTAGGAGTTAAATTTTGTTTTAATCTCGAGTTACAAATCTGATGGGGATAGCATTACCCCTGGCCCTGTGGTATTGGGGATGGAACCCAGGGCTTTACGGCTCCCGGGCAAGTGTCCTGCCCTGGAGATGCACCCCTGGCCACGCCGACAACAATTTGAGAGGACAAGTGCACAGGGAAATGGGACTCGCTCAGTGCCACACTCCCTCAGAACCCCTGGGGGACCTACTCAGCAGAGCTGTACCTGCAGCTGGCTCCTCCTAGGCCAGTATTTTTCCACATTTAAAAATTCATGACCCACTAAAAACTATAGAAGTCCCATGCCCTTTGTGTTTTGTGATGCAAAAAAAAAAAAAAAAAAAAAAAAACCCTAGGCTCCTTTTCAAAATATGAAATAATAATATCGACTCTTCTTGTCTTAGCTTAAAGCCCTCCCTCCCCCAGGTGAGAATTGCTGTCCAGGACCCTTAAAACCCAACGCCACAGCTTTAAAAATGTGACAGGAACTGCCGGTAGCACGGTGTTGGTATCCGAGCTTCCCCGGCATGGTTCTTTCTGCCCTGCAGGTTCTGGTAAAAGAGGTGGGCAAAGGCACACGGGGCTTGCCAGGAAACAGGGAGGGGCCTATTTGGCACATAATTAGTTTCTATCCTCCCAGGGTCTCGTGTGCCAGAGGTGGGAACAGAATGAACAATTAATACAACTCTGACTCCAGGGAGCTGGGTTCTAGCTGGGAAAACAGGAACAGGCTGTTTAACCAACAAGGAGTCCCGCTCCGCAGACACATTCGCACCCACACGCCATCCACAGCCTGTCTCGCCCTTCACACCAGACCTGTCAGAGCCACACATTCCAAACTGGAGCTGTGACAGCTGCGGGCATCAGATAAATGTCCCAGAATGACTGATGCACACCCTTCTGTGGAGCCTAGAGATCACTACTGTGCCTACCAGGCGCTCACACTCCGCCCCCCCCCCACAAGTCCTACGCGCGGCCTCTTTAAGGGCCCCACGTGATCGCCACGTTCAATGGCCTACAAAGGGTTCTGACTGCCGCTATTCACTGTCCCATCCCCAGGGAAGGGAGGGGAGCCGAGACAGACAGACATCAGGCTTGTCCTGTTGTGGCCACCGAGCACAAGTCTTGTATGACAGATAATGAGGAGCCTGGCTATGGCTGAATGGCTTAGCTTCTTCTACCCCCTTCCTCAGTCCCCCAGCTCCTTTCATATTAGAGGCTGCTGCCCCTCCCTGCACCCCATCAATAGCCCTGTCTTTTCCCAGGCCCTCTGCCTTGTCCTGTCACAAGCACTCGGTCCTGGGTCTGTTTGCTCCTTGTCACATGTTTTCTCCCCAGTGTGGCTAAACTCAAGTGCAATCTTTATCGTCCTTGTGACTGGTGCCCCAGCCAGCAAGCTGCACACACAGGTTGTTCACGGAGTATACAGATTCATTTGCTGACTCCCACCGACCCCACAACACGCCAGCCTGCCTGTGTCTCCCACGCCACCAAACTAACCCTGTATTCTTGTGCCAGAGGGCTTCCCTGGGCTCTGGGCACTGCTATTCCGTTTCAAGTCCCAGCATGCTCCTTGCCCTGTTTACGGCTCCCTTGCTGTCCATTAGCGCGCGGGGGGGAGGGGGGGGGCCTTCAGCAGCTCTGCCTCCTACTGGGCCCTCTGCTGAAGGGCTGTCCAGCCAGAGGGAAGATGCTGGGTCCAGGTCCCATCCCAGAGAATTCCAGGCTGAGCCGAGGTGAAGGTAGAGATTGAAGGGGTGAATAGTGGAGGAGTCTCCTGAAGGATGGGCCAGGGGACACTGGGAGGGCGTGAGCATGACTTGTTCAGGAGAGCCTGGAGTTTAGCCAGGGGGCCTGGCCTTTCCCCTTCAACCCTCCTCAACCTTGGCACCCAAGGGGGCCTCGTCACATCTGGAGGCCCCTGTTAGGTGATGTAAATTTTGAGTACCTTTTTAAAGAGTTGAGGGCGTCACCAGGGGACGTGAGCTAAGGCCTCAGAAGGAACCTAGCCAGTCCCATCGCCTTCTCCCCCCTCCCCCATGAGTTTTACTAGGCAGAGGTCCTCTCCCTACCGCCCTTCCGTGGATGCATCATTTCAGGTGGAACAGTTACAGCTTGTCTGCTGGAAGAGCTGGGGTTAACCTGGGATACCCCCGTTCACTGCCCGCAGGAGTCCAGACTCCCTAGTGCACGCCCTCTATACCCATCCCTGTGGGGCTGAGCTGGGCACTGCTGAGTGCCGTCCTCCAGGGCGGTGACAGTGACCAGAAACACCCTTACTACCCATGTCCTGCTCCTCACTGTCTGGTCTGTCTCTTCCTCTGGTGTCGGTTGACTTGTCTCTGCCTCTCCTCCTCCTGGCCGCATGAGGACCCTCTCCTCTGGACAGGAGCTCTCTTCCGGGTTCCAGCCTGCTCATGGCCATCAACTAGGTAGTGTGTTCCGTCTGTTTGCTAGTGCGAGCCCTGCATGCCATGCTTAGGGCCTCGGGTGTTTCCTCTTAAGGAAGGGGTAGGGCCAGCTACTCAGGAGTTAAAATTGGGCTTGAGATGGGCCTGTTTAGGGGGCCATCTCCCCCCCCCAGCCCTGGGGTAATTTTCTTGGCACTAAGGTGGAATTGAAGGGGAGAGGGGGTGGGGTAATTGTCCCTCCTGCTTATAATCACATCAGGCCAGAGAGTTTAGGCTTGCTTTCCTGGTTACTGGGCTTTGAGGTCTTATTCAGACACCTAGCCCAAGCAGTGCCTGAGAGGTAGCTGCAGGCCAGCGTCCTTGCCTGGCCCTTAAGCTCCTCTGGGGAGGAGCTGTGGGCTGTGAGCAGCCTGCCTGACTGTGGCTGTTGGTGTCCCTTTCCCTGCAGGTGACTGTTTACTGGGTAGATGAGGCCGAGGCCAGTCCCACGCACTGCCTCTCCCCACAGGCCGAGCACGCTGGGGTCCGCACCTACTTCTTCAGTGCCGAGAGCCCTGAGGAGCAGGAGGCCTGGATCCAGGCCATGGGCGAGGCTGCTCGGGTACAGATCCCTCCAGCCCAGAAGTCAGCGCCTCAGCCTGCGCGGCCCAGGTGAGTACCAGGGTCCCTCGCGCAGAGGGGAGGAAAGGACGCAGCTGTGGGCCATTGCCGGGCCAACTGTGCCGGCTTGAACCCCTGGAGGGAGTGAGGACTATTGCCCTGCATCCAAGCAGAGAAGGTCTGGCCAGCAGGTTGCAGAGCCTGAATTTCACCTCCCCTGACCAGTTCCTCCTCGTCCGCAGTGAGTTCCACTGAAGCTTGGCCGGCAGCCCAAGACTAGGACCTTACTCATTGTTCAGGCTGTTGGTGAGGAAAATGGAGTCAGGTTTGAATCATAGGTTAGGTGCTTGGCCACGGTATGACCTCGGGGTGAGTGACTTAACCTCTCAGAACCTGACTTTCCTCGTCTCAAATCTGTTGGATTTGTCCTGTCCTGTATGAGGACTGCAGGGTGTACATAAAATCCCAACGACGCCCACCTCTCCTTTCCCTGTGTGGAGCCTTGACTTAGGTGAATGGGGATCCAGAAGAAAGGGCCTTCCTTACAGTGTAGACCCTGGACAGTGTTTCAGCAAGGAAGCTTGACAGTCAGGAAGCTCCCGGGGGCCCATCTTGTCAAGGGTCCATCCCTGAGCATTGCCAGAGCTTTACTCATCTGCTTCGCAGGCTCACCACAAAGAGCAGACTGTATAGTTGGTGCTTCTGCTGCTGTGATAGACCCTGGCCAGGCGCAACGAGGGAAGGAAAGGGTTTATTTCCTCTTGCAATTTGTAGTTCATCCGGGGACTCCCCACCATCCAGGGAGGTCAGGGCAGGAACTCAAGGCAGGAGCCTGGAGGCAGGAACTGAAGCAGGAACCACAGAGGGGTGCTGCTCGCTGGCTTGATCCCCACGGATTGTGCAGCTTGCTTTCTTAGACCATCCAGGACCACCTGCTCAGGGGGCGGCACTGTTCGTAGCGGGCTGTGCCCTCCCATGTCAATCATCAATCAAAAAAAAAAAGTACCCAATAGACTTGCCCATAGACCTGTGTTATAGAAGAATAGTCTCAATTTAGACTCCCTCTTCCCAAATAACTCTAGTGTGTAGCAAGTTGACAATAAACAAAAGTAACCAGGATATAGATCCTAGGAGCATGTTGGATAAAAACCTGTCACATTCCTGCCCTGTGGAGTCCACATTCCGATGATGCTAGACCCAGAAGGGTTGAGCTTTGGAGAGGGACCTTGTGTTTACCTGCCAGGAGACAATGACTTGAGTCCTTGCTGCCCACCGTGGTGTATCTCACAGCAACCCTCTGAGGGCAGATGGTATTCTGTGCATTCTGCCAATGAAGAGTCGCCGGGACTCACGGAAAGACACAGGATGAAGCTGTAACAAATCTCTGTTGCTAAGGACAGTCTCTGCCCTGAAACGGGGCTACAGTGCCAGCCAGGTCTGGAGGGCTGGACTGGAGACAGATAACAGAAATGACGGGCCACCACAGCCAAGAGCTGGACTCCATATCAGTAGCAGAAGGGGGAGTGATTTGGGTAACGGGGCCTGGAGGGCAGAGGAAGTTCACTGGAGGGTTATTTGACTTTATCTCATCATTGCCCAGCAATAAAGTAAAGCCTGGGGTTTAGGAAGCATAATTGGGTATCACCCTGGCCTGGTCCATCCCTACCCCTGCCTCTTCCTCTCCACTCCTCCCCACACTGCTGGGCCAGTGCGACTGACCTGATGGCCTCTACCTTGGCACCCTGCAGCCAGGAGAAGCCAGACTCAGAGAACATCCCGCCCAGCAAAGTTCATCAGCAGCCGCCTCACAACAGCATCACCAAGCCAGAGCCCGAGGCCAAGACTCGAGGGGAAGGGGACGGCAGAGGCTGTGAGAAGGCCGAGCGAAGGCCTGAGAGGCCCCAAGTCAAGAAAGAGCCTCTAGTGAAAGCCAACGGCCTCCCGCCTGGACCCGAACCAGCCTCAGAGCCTGGCAGTCCTTACCCTGATGGCCCGAGGGTCCCGGGAGGTGGGGAGCAGCCCACCCAGCCCAATGGCTGGCAGTATAGCTCCCCAAGTCGACCAGGGAGCATGGCTTTCCCACCTCATGATGGGGACAGTGGGGGACACCGGCGGAGCTTTCCACCACGAAATGACCCTGACAAAATTGCCCAACGCAAAAGCTCCATGAACCAGCTTCAGCAGTGGGTGAACGTACGCCGAGGAGCACCTCCACCCGAAGACCTTCGGAGGTGAGGGCTACTATAGCTAGGGCAAGGGAAGGGGCATAGCCTATGGGACACCCCTTTATGGGGAACCTTCTGGAAGCTGACTGTGCTGGGAAGCTAACACCGTTCCTGACTCTCGGCTTGACCAAATCCTTGCCTCTGATTGTTTCTCTGTTTGCCGCCTTCAAAGAAAAGGATAGACCCAGGCATGGTGGCACATTCCTGTAATCTCGACTCTCGGGAAGCAGGGGTGGAGGGTTGGGAGTTCTGAGGTTATCCTCTACGTCATAGTAAATTGTAGGATAGCCTAGGCTACATGAGACCTGTTCCGGGGGCTGGGGGGGGGAGAGAAGAGAGACACAGTGCCGTGCCTGGGGTAGGCAGGAGTCATACAGGCGTAGAGGCAGGCCTTGAAGCTGGTTAGCTTAAATACCAATCCTTGCTTCAGGTCCTGTAACATCTGAATCCAGTGCTCATATTCACAGGGAACCAAACAACTCAGGCCCTTTTAAACAGCCCTATTGATTCGAAGCCACTGTTAACAGCCAGTCATATTTTTTGGTGGGGGGGGGGATTGTGTGTGTGTTGTTGTTTTAAGGAAACAAGGCACCTCATTTGTCCCATTGTTCCTTGATGACCACCTTGCACCATGGATAAATACAGGGATTTATCTGATGACTGGCTTTCAAATATTTGGTGGTACTTAGCGAGCCTGATAGTGTTTGTCAGGGCAAATGAGCTAGGGATGTAGGGAGCTCCAGGGATCGTGGGTACAGCCTCAGCGAGGCATCTTGGACCCTGAAGAAGCCTACCTTTCTAGACAGTTAACATCTCACTGTTGGTGACTGGGCCCTTGGGCAATTGGCTATAAGTCCTGGGAGCCTACTGGACATGCTTTGATCCTTTGGGAGCATGGCACATTTGAGTATTTTCTTACACCGCTCGTCTTGGAAAGGACCTGGCAAATTGATTCACACTCAGATGAAGATGGCAGATAAGGCCTAGAGCTGTCTTCCAGGAGACTTCATTTTAAAGACACACAGGTTGAACTCTGAATGGTGCAGGGTGGGACTTTTTCTCACCTCTAGATTAACCCTAGAACCCCCTGGCAGTGGCCTCCCCTGGGTGCTTCCTGGGTGCTCTGGGCGGGGCCCCAGCCTCTTTTCAAGCCGCCTGGAGGACTGGGAAGTGAACTGGGTGCACGTGAGGGTAGAGATATGTCCATGTTGTCAACTTTCCTTACAACAGCCCCTCTCTCTTTTTCTTAGTCCTTCCAGGTTCTACCCTGTATCCCGCCGAGTCCCTGAGTATTACAGCCCCTACTCCTCCCAGTACCCCGAGGATTACCAGTACTATCCACCAGGCGTGCGGCCAGACAGCATCTGCTCCATGCCAGCCTACGACAGGATTAGTCCACCCTGGGCCCTGGAGGACAAGCGGCACTCCTTCCGTAATGGGGGTGGACCCACTTACCAGCTTCGCGAATGGAAGGAGCCGGCCGGCTACGGGCGCCAGGATGGCACCGTTTGGATCCCCAGCCCCTCCCGACAGCCAGTCTATTACGATGAGCTAGATGCCGCCTCTGCCTCCCTGCGACGCCTGTCCTTGCAGCCCCGTTCCCACTCTGTGCCCCGCTCACCCAGCCAGGGCTCCTACAGTCGTGCCCGAATCTACTCCCCCGTGCGTTCGCCCAGTGCCCGCTTTGATCGGCTGCCGCCTCGCAGTGAGGACATCTACGCGGACCCTGCTGCCTATGTGATGAGGCGATCCATCAGCTCCCCAAAGGTGAGCCGCCAGTCCGCCCCTCCCTCCTGAGCCCCTGAGACCGCTGGAAAGGCTGGCACATCGGGACGTGTCCTGCCCAGCCAGGGATCTGTCCCAGGGAGCCTGGCCTGTGGTACCATCCCTACAAGAGCTGCCCTGGGAGTGGTTCTGGCTTCTAAAAAGGAACCCTACCCATTCCCAGGTTGTGCTAAAAGTTGTGCTGTGTCTAAAAGGACAGAGGACTGTCCTCTGACCTTGAGAACTCGGATAGGTTATTGTGAAGGGGGTTGCTGTGCATTTTAGTTTGAACTCTGCTCTGGGATAGAACACAGACACCCTTAACCTTGAACTTCAGTTGGTGGGGGAATCCACAGCCCCGCCATATCCTCTCATCTCTGCAATCCCCTTTCTCTTCCAGTATGATTACCTGGGAGACAGGCGGCCAGTCCCTGCAGGACTGTTCCCCTACAACTACCCACCATCCCCCACGGTTCACGATAAGATGGTATGTCCTCTCCTCCCTTCCACTCCACCTCAGGACCTCCTCACCTGCATCCACCCAAGGTGGAGCTGACTGGGGCAGGTGCCAGGGATGCTCTGGGCCCAGTGCCTGGCCCATGTATCTTTAGAAGCCTCTGGATACCTCCTCCTTCCCTCACCAACCCTCAAGGCCCCAAGATAGGGTTTGGGGCCAGCTGCCCCTTCTCCATGGCACAGAACAGAGTGCATAGGCTCTCCCCCTCTGCCCCTTGGCTCAGCTCTTCTCCCCAGCACGCAAGAGGAGGGGCTAGGGCTAGCTAGGTGTATGAGCTGAATGCAGTCAGGCTAGGACTCCCAGGCTAGAGCTATGAACTTTTTCTCTTGGTGTATTGCCTCAAGCTTGCCTTGGTTTGGAAGGGACAGAGTTCTGACTGAGGAAGAAAGGGCATACCACATTGGGCTCGTTCCCTCTTCTGCTATCTCTAACTTCTAAAATGTGTCCCTCCCTGAGAAATGTACCTCCGTTAGAGGGTCAGATGCAGACACTCCACGTTGGTGGGTTGGGAACTAGAGGATCTGTGTCCCATACCTGGCAAGGGAGGCCAGGGTGCAGGAGGCTGGCAGATTTGAGGACAGCCACTCCTCACCCTGAACTACTGTTCAGACTTCATAGCCTTGATCCATAGCAAATGTACCTTTCCAGAAATAGCTCGTTTCCCCAGAAAATTTGGGAACCCTTTTAATCGCATTTTCAGGGTGGAACAGAGGTAACAGTTGGGAGAGAGTATGTCCCCCATCCCTTCTCCAACTGCCTGTGGCCTCATCCCCTTCTACCCAAGACCCACTGAAAGGACAAGTCAGAGGCTTTTCATTGTCCATGCCCAGCTAACTCTTAACTACTTTGCTTCTTTTTTTTTTTTTTTTTTTTTTTCCCGTTTTCTTTTGTGTGTTCCTGTTTGTTTGTGTTGCTGGTTGGCCCTTTGGCCTCGGGCTCCGGGTAGGATGACCTTTTAGATCTTCAGTTGCAAAGAAACCTAGAGTATTTGGACCAGCAGGTAGGCAGAGCTGGTGCCCCTCGCCATCCCATGCCCTCCTGTCCTGTTCCCACCCTCCACCCATCCCTAACATCCTCCAGCCATCGGACAACCTTTGTTGGCCTCACTGGGACCCAACAAAGCGGCTTGTGTTTTGGTTTGCTCCTTCATCTCCTTTCTCTGTGAAGCCCTTACGGGCAGCTGGGATGGTCCTCAGGAAAGAAGCATATAAATGGGAAGACACATAATTAATTCCCTCTACCTACATTCCCCAGTGCTCAGCCCATGCAAAAGTACCCTCAAGGGCAGGTGGGAATTGGCATTTTTGCTGAAGAGAGTAGAGACAAGATTTGTGCCTAAGATGCTAGGGAGTTAGTTAAGTCATGGGTCTAGTTAGCCTGGACCTGAGAAAATCACACCTGTGCTATAGTTATAGATAAGCTCTGTAGCTATGAACTGGGGCCCTATAGATTTGCCCTAGTATGGTTTAGAAAATGATATCAATTCCATATATTTGTTAGCCCCTCTTTCGCATATACATCCCATGGTCCTGAGAATTCAGTGTGGTTGACAGAGGCAGCAATGTCAGCTCTGTTGGGATGATAAGCAAGCTGACCAGGCAGTGAATATTCCAATGAGACACAAGCTGCTGGCTGCCTGGTTCCTACCCCAGGCTTTTGCTCCTCTGCCTTTTAACTCCAAAGAGGACTATCTAAAAACGTCCCGTCTAGACAAGCATCAGGTGAACCCATGCACCTAGATATGTGCTACAACTCGAAAGGAATCTGGAAGTCCTTATCATTTTCCTGCGAAGCCAGCCTGAGGTGGCATGCTTTTATTACCAACACTTTGGAGGCAAAGGCAGCTGGACCTCTATAAGTTTGAAGCCAGCCTGACCTAAATAATGAGTTCCAAGCCAGATAAAGTAACATGGTGAGACCCTGTCTCAATAGTAATAATAATAATAATAATAATAATATAGCAGCCACCATAATCTGGTGCTTCCTTAAAATAGGCTGACTGGAATAGATCACAACCCTTTTCATTTTTATAATAATTCCACAGTATAGGAACTGTGACTATCCTATTTTACAGACAAAGCCCAGAGGTTTTAAAAAAACATGCCAAGGACACAGCCATCGAATGGCAGAACTTAGGTTTTACCCCAGCTTATAGCTGGGACACGAGACTGGAATCACATCTCATCAGGACAAGCTCATACTCATAAATCCGTGGGCAGAAATGTGACCTTGGAGTGGCTATATTCACCACTATGACTCTTATGTTCTTCCAGTAACAGTCATGGGACCTGTCGTCTCCTACGGCCTCCCTGCTATGGTGAGATCATCTCCCTAAGAGGTCTGAGGCACTGGGAAGCTCTGATTGCTAGAGTTTAGTCAGCAGGGCCAGCTCCTGACCCTCAAGGACCTTGCATTCTTGTTCCAAAAGCTGTGCATCATATCCGTGCCATAAACATTCTGGGCCATGTGGGATGAATCCCAGGATGCCCTTCCCCAAGCATGGCTGGGAGTGCTAGGTCCTCCCAGACCTGCGGTACCCTGAAGTGAGGAGGGCTCAGAGCATCCACCACCAGCCTCTCCCAAGCAGGTGTCGCCCTTGTAGCCTTGTGACTTACTCTGCCCTGTCCACAATGGCTGCCTGTGCAAGCATTTATCAGAGTGGCTTTTGCTCTTCCAGAGGGGCTGACTGCTAGGGTCTTCAGAAGTCACCTCTGGATTGCCCTCCTGCCCAATATTATTCTTGTTTGTCTGTTTTTCAAGACAGGGTTTCTCTATAGCTTTGGAGTCCTGGAACTCGATCTGTAGACTAGGCTGGCCTCTAACTCACAGAGATTCACCTGTTTCTGCCTCCCAACGGCTGGGATTAAAGGCGTGCGCCACCACCGCCCAGCTGCCTAACATTCTTATAGGCGGTCCTGTGTGATGAGGGGCCTGGCACAGCAGGTGACGCCGCCTGGGCAGCACTGGGGGATGTGTCATTTAGTCTCCCTGGTTCTTTGTTTTCAAACTTAGTGGAGTCTGCTCTTCTTCAGAGTAGTGGGAGAATCAGATTGGGAAGCTCTCTGTGGGGCGTTGTTACAGAAAATCACTTATGGGAAAGAGCCCATGTTAACGAATGCCCCTGGAGAGCCTGACCTCCCCTTGCCCACTAGACACTGACAAAAGCGTGCACATGGACACATGCACACGTGGTCTCTTTAAGTAGGGAGGGCCTGGATTTGTAACTCTTATGCTCACCCTCATACCATGGGCGCTCTTGAAGCCGTTATATCACACTTCACATCGCACGGAAAAAACCCTAACTAAGCTTACAGGACTAGGGCATTGAATGCTAGAAAGTCTTTTAAAATACTGCAGACCTAGGGATGAAGAGTTGGCCCCACAGTTGAGAGCACCGGCTGCTCTTCCAGGGGACCCCGGTTTGGTTACCAGCACCCATGCGACAGCTCACAACCACCTGTAAATCCAGCTCTAGGGCCTCCAATGCCCTCTTCCAGCCTCTGTGGACACATGCTACACAGACATACATGTAGTCAAAATGTATGCATAAAGTAGATTTTTTTTTTTTAAATTAAAATGCTGTAGGCCCTGCAAATGGGGGCGCGGGTTACCTTGCTCTGTCCACATCATGGCAGAAACAGTTATGTTTGGGGCGTTGCCTCACGAGAGGAAGAGGAAGAAAAGACACAGGACTGACCTAGACCGGGGAGAAGAAAGATACAATTGTGACCTCACAAGATCATCCCCAGTGTGGCCCTGTCCTTTGCTTAATTACATTATGGCCCCACAGCTTTCCCCATCTACCTCCCTCCTGTCCTCTCCCACCATCTGCTGTGGGACACAGAGTTAAAGGGACACAGCCAAGGACGGTCCCTGACAGTCTGTCTTGATTCGCTCCCAGTGGACCCCGTGGACAAAGGAGGGCGAATCTGATTGGTTTGGTCGGCCCCTCCCTCCCTCCCTCTCTCTCCCCACCCTTCCCTCCCCCTTCCACTTCCCCAGTGGTCCTTGAAATTAAGAGATGACATGGGAGAGCAGTGTCCCCACACCTGGTGTCCCTTTAACACGGCTCACTTGTCTCGGCCTCCTTGTTTGCTTCCCAGTGCCATCCCAGATCCTCATGGATGCTGCCAGCCCAGCTCTGGAAACTGCCTAGTGATCTTCCAGGAGGTGGGGAGGGGTGTGCCGCGAGGGCGTAGGTCCCAGCTTTGCTGTTTTAGGTCGGTTTAGTGTCACTTTGAGGAGGTTGGCCTTCCCACCGTGTGGTCTTCATCCAAAGCACTGTGAGAAGTGGGAAGGAGGGGACAGTGTGGGCAGGCACCCTTAGGGCAAGTCCTTTGGCCTTGCAGGGCCTCTTCCGAGCTGCCAGTGACGGTCTAGTGACCTCCCAGCACCCTGGTGCGGCACCCATCAGTGCCAGTCCCGAACCGGTTCCCAGGGTGACACATGGCAAGGCCAAGCACCAGGTGCCCCTCCCCGTTTACTGCAGAGAACCACAGCGGGGTGTGGGGGGATAGCGAGACTTACCCCGGGGGGGGGGGCTGAGTGAATCGTCCGTCCATTCCTTCCTCTGCTGCAGATGAGTGAGAGCGAGACTCTCATCAGTATGGTGAACCGCATGGTGGAGAGCTCCTCCCCCAGGGCCCAACTCTTCATGCAAGTAAGGCCTCTCTGTGTGCCTGCTGCCGGCATGGTCCCTGTCAGTGCCATCTCAGCTGCTTGTGCATGGTTGGGTCACCCCATGTGGGATGAGGCCTGCCTCACCCAGTCCATTCATCTGCCCGGCCTCATCTCCCCCGAGACAGATCCTGCCCGGTCAGCCCTATCATGCTGCCCCCATACTTCATGGTCGTGGATAAAGCCAGGATGCATTTCCTGAACCATCCAAACAGCCAGCAGCAACATCTCATGCGCGCTGGGGATTACAAACCTGCTTTCGAATGCCCAGGACCCAGTTCTTATTTGCTGTTGTCCTTGACAGATAGTACTGGGACTGGGGCATGAAGGGAGGGGCTCAAGGGTTTGTGAAATGTCTTAGGATGACTGCTGTGTTGGCAAGGCATGGCAGCATTAACTGGCCCCCATGGTGCTTTTGGAATCTTGCTAGTCCTGGCTTAGAGTGGGCTCTGTGGTTAGTGTTCGTGAGGACAGCGGGTTCTCCGGGTTTCTGGTCCTCATTCCTGCCAGCCTCATGTACTGTCCCGACAAACTGCCCAGGAGCCACTGGTGCTCTCCTGATTGTTACCATCGAGAGCTTTGCCTTCCAGCGGGCCTCCAACAGGGGACAGCAGACACAGGTCATGTGGCCTACAAAGTTCTAACCTCTCCAGAATCAGCCACGGACAATCAGGATGACGTCTAAACCGCGCCATCACAGACTTCCCAGCCAGAGGACGTAGACTTAGCTCGAGTCCCTGGCGCGGAAGCCCCCATCAAGCACGATGGGGAGTGGTCTCTGGCAGAAATGAAGCAGGATTGTGATGTCAGCTTTCCTACTCACACAGCCTCATCTGCCCCGGCTGCAGTAACCAGCCTCATGTCCCTGCAGGTCCCTGCATACCCAGAGGTGTTCCGGGACGGCCTCCACACCTTCAAGTTAAACGAGCAAGACACGGATGTAAGGGCAGCTCCCCCTGCACCCTCTGACCACGACATACCCATGTTGTCATCTTCGTTCATTCCCTCGTGGGGCCTTTTCTCCATCCCCCCTCCCCTGGTGGCATTTCATACATCTGACTCGTGTCCTCTCATCAGGACCACAGACACAGCCTTGCATCTGCTTCCTCCTCCTCCCCCTTGTCTTCTTGGCCTTGACACTATCTCATCTCCCGCTTTGGCTCTATGCTTCTGTGGGCCCCTCCGCATCAGTGTGATCTCCTTAGGGCCAAGCCTTAGGCGTTATTAGACTGAAGGTCAGTCAGTCAGTCCCCTCTGTGCCAACTTTTGTTGGACACTGCAAGATACCAGAGTGAATATGGCCTGTTTCTGCCCTCGGGCAGCTTTATGCAGTGGGAGGACCCCAAGTAGCATCAGTTGGCAGCATCAGATTCATGTACTGAATGGGGCCAATGAGTGTCTTGAGGACAAAATAGGTGGCCAATCAGAAAGGCCTTGAGATGAAAAAGCCCAAAGGGCATGGTTTGCCTCAGTACTCAGGAGAGAAGGACAAGGAAAGAAGACCCCTCGGAATGACAGTGGGCTCTGCCTGCTGCTCCTCCGTTACTGCTGGCCCTCCTCTGGCAGGCAGAGGCCAAGGAGGGGGGTCCGGGCAGGGGCCAGCCAAGAGGGGCTCCCATCAGCCATCCTGAGACCTTAGAATAGGTCTCAGGTCAACCTTCCTAAGGCTGCAGCCCTTTAATGCAGATCATCGTGTTGTGGTGATTCCAACCATAAAATTACTTTGTTACTACTTCATAACTGTAATTTTGCTACTGTTATGGATAATAAATAATCTAAATACCTGATATGCGGCCCCTGTGGGGGTCATGGCCCACAGGTTGAGAACCACAGCCTTAGTGGACGAGAACTCAGAATCTCAGCATGAGAGAGACTGGGGTCCGTCGGGCTGAGGGCCCCGTTCACACTACATTGTTGGGTTCTTTTTTAAAGACTGCCTGTTCCCATACCCTGCCTGTCCCCTACCCGAGCCCGGGACGTGAGCCCATAATGTCTTCTCAGCCTTCCGGGCTCTGTGCCCCCACAGTTGGATAGGAATGCACTTGACTCCTTACCACCTCCACTTAGAGAATCATCTCGTTTCCTAAGATGGAGAGAGGTTCATCATGCTCTTTCCCAGAGGTGATGGTGAAGGCCCAGGTTCCTTGGCTTTGGCTGGGGAAAGTGGCGGTATCCAGAGGCCAGGCCCTGCCAACCCCGGCTCCCAAGTCTTCATCAAACCATGTGCTTCATCCCCTCCCTTTCTCTCTGGACCCTTAGAAGCTGCTGGGCAAGCTGTGCGAGCAGAGCAAGGTGGTGAGGGAGCAGGATCAGCTGGTGCAGCAATTGCGAGCAGAGAAGGTCAGAGTCTGCGGCGTTTTGGAGGTGGGGCTGGCATGGGGATGGTGTGAGATGCCATCTCTGCCCGTACAAAGCTTGGGAGACTCTTCCTCAGACTTCTTATCTCCCAGGGACAGTAGCCAGTATGAGGATAACCTCTGCTAAAGCTGCCTGATTGAACTCTAGAGAAGGTCACTGGAGCGGCTCACGCCATCCCCGTCTTTCTTTAGGAGAGCCTGGAAAGTGCCTTGATGGGGACCCACCAGGAGCTGGAGATGTTTGGGAACCAGCCTGCCTACCCGGAGAAGCTGCTGCACAAGAAGGAGTCTCTGCAAAACCAGCTCATCAACATCCGGGTGGAGCTGTCGCAGGCCACCACGGTAACCACAGGGACAGGGGCTGTGGCTGTTGGCCCAGACAGCTCCTAAGTCAGTAGAAGCAGAGTGCTGCAAGGCCCCGCCTATTGCGGGGGGGGGGGGCATGCACAAGTAGCAGGTTTGCCTACCTGTTCATTCCAGAGTGTCTCCGCCCAGAGAGCAAGCTCATTTCCCACAGGCTGCATTTGCACCGGGGTCTCTTTGAGGCTGTGCAAATAGCTGAGGGTTACGAGTTCTACGGTTTATCTAACCCATACACTGTCCACTCTGCCCTCCGCCGTGGGGAAGCAGGGCCCTGGCTGGCTTCCTGCTGCCCAGCCAGGGAGGCAAGGGCAGATCCTTCAACACTGCTTGTTCCAATAGCAGTGGCTTAGAAAAGCAGAAGAGGCTTAGGAGAGCAGAGCTGGGAGGAGGAGGGTCTCTATGGGCAGCCCATCTCCCTACCCACACTTCCTGAGAGGAACAAGAGGGTACGGTATGCCCTGGCCCCTCTAGGAGGGTTAGAGAGAGCCATCATCAGAATGCCTCAGCTTTGTTCATTTCCTGCCAGACTTCAGACCCCAGGTATCCTGGCCCCAGACCCCTTTGCTGCAGTGGGAGGGAGGCCTTGATGGAGGCTTCCTCCTTAGATTAGTTGCTTTTCTCGCTGCTGTGGAGGAGGGCTTTGGACTCAGTTTGGAGGGAATATGTCCATGGTTGGGGGAAGGTATGGTTGCTGTTGGCAACTTGCACCCCACATTCAGGAGGCAGAGATGGGATTGGGGTGCTCAGTTTGCCACGCCCTTTATAATCAGTCCTGGGCCCAGGCCTGTGGGATGGTGCCACCACACACTTTCCTTCTCCCTGGAAACACCTTCACAGACACACCCAGAGGTGTGTTTCCATGGTGATTTTTAAAACCATCCTCTCCCCTGCAGGCCCTGACCAACAGCACAATGGTGTATGAGAACCTTGTGTCTGAAGTCTCGGCTCTGCACGACGACCTCTGGGAACAGCTCAACTTGGACATCCAGGTGAAGTGGGGGGGGGGCTAATCATGTGTGGGGGTGGGTGGGAGGGGGGGTGTAGGTGCGGGGGGGGGTGACACATGATGTGCTCTGCATGTTTCCTCCTTGTCCTTTGTGGCAAAGGAGAACAAAGTGGCCGCCTTTCTTGATGTAGCCGTTTCAAATATAAGGCAAGACGCTGGTCCTGTGACAGATGGAGAGAAACAGAGCCAGAGAAGGATGGGGAGAGACACAGAGGCTGAAGACAAAGCCCAACCCACAGGGCTGGAGCTGATGAGGCAGAGACTTAGGTTAGAAGCAGGATATTCTATGGCTGAATTTAAAAACAGATCAGTGGCCATAAATACCTCTCAGACACTAGAGAAGCTGGCAGTGCAGGGCCATCTATGACGCTTTAGAAACAAGGCTTGTCTTCCAGGGACGGGGAAGAAGTGGGCGGCTTGGGGGAGAGGGATATATTAGGAGCAGTTTTCCCACCAGCCTGGTCCCACAGCTGCGTCAGCCCCAAATAACACACAGAGACGCTGTATTAGATATAAAGCTGTTGGCCTGTTACTAGCATTTCTTATTGGCTAGCTCTGTCTTACATATTAACCCATTTCTATTCATCTAAGTGTTTCCATGTGGTCTTATCTTACCAGAGAGAGAGTACTGTCTTCTGCTCTACATCTTGACTCTCTCCTACTACATCTCCCAGAATCCTTCTTGTCTCCTAGTCCGGCCTATCTTGCTTTCCTATTGGCCAACAGTGCTTTATCCATTAACCAATAAGAGAAAACATACTTACTGAATGGCATCTTCCAGCAGGGATAGATGGTGGAGACTTCTCGTTTATTTTATTTTTCCCCTTGTCTTTTGTCTGACCAAGCCCTGCCTCTTCTCTAGCTGGTTTTGCAAGCTCTGCTCCTCAGATGCAGTTAACACCATTTTCCTCTCGATAACAAAACTCACCTCCCTTCCTTGGGCTGGGCAGGGTAAAGCGGGGACCCAGAGGACCTAGATACTGCTACATCCCATGGGTCAGCTGCACTTCAGGTGCACACATTTTAGGGGGGAGAGGGGCCATGGGCATAAGCATCAGTTTCTAAATCAAAAAGGTGGTCCTTAGACACTGGCTGTGTGGCTTACTTAGTGGATGGCCCTGGACTCAGTCTCTCTGGGGCAGGGACCACTGCCTCTGAGTACCTTGGTGAGAAATCCTGAGATGAGACGAGTTAGTACATGCAAAGCATTTGCAGTGTCACTGGGTTAAATTTCAGAATGTAAGCTGTAGGGGAATGTAACTCATAGCTAGGTTGTTGGAATATGAAAAATGAAAAAAAAAGAAAGAAAAGACGTCAACAACAAAAACCACCCTGAAAGTCTTGCCCATGCGGGCTCAGTAGGGTTTCCTCGCTCTTGCTTCTGAGGCCTTGGGTTTTCTGGAGACACAATTTTATATTAGCTCAAGAGGCAGAGACTTCCCATGAGAAAGATATGTGTGCTGGGAAAGGCCGTGGGCCGGAACACGGAGATGCCAAAGCCTCCGGATCAGCCGGGTCCGGGCTCAGGGTAGGGCTGGCACATCCTTGAGACACTCTGTGGCTGTTTCAGAATGAGGTGCTCAATCGGCAAATTCAGAAGGAGATCTGGAGGATCCAAGATGTCATGGAAGGGCTTCGGAAGAACAACCCGTCCCGGGGCACGGACACAGCCAAGCACAGGGGTAGGCACCTCCACGCCACGCTCCTGGACTCTGTTACACCCCTGACAGCTAACGGGCTACACTAAAGGACGCATGAGTCACTTTGGAGCTGCCCCAGAGCCCAGGGCTCCAGGCTGGGTTGCTTTAACACTGCAGAGGTTGCAGTATCCCCTGTTCGCTACCTTCTCTGCCTGGAGGACCTCTTAGGAGCCAGCCATGTGCACACCATACCACTCTTTACGCCTCTCTTCTGTTTCCCCAGGAGGACTCGGCCCCTCAGCCACCTGCACCTCCAACAGCCCAGCCAGCCCTCTCAGCTCTGCCAGCCTTACCAGTCCCCTGAGTCCCTTTTCAATGGTGTCTGGTTCTCAGGGATCTCCAACCAAGCCAGGGTCCAGCGAGGTAAGCTGGGGAAACAGTGCAAAATTGATGGAGACAGGAAGGGCAGACCCTGAGCACTGGGAAGGGCACACAGTCTCCCCAGCTCTTCCCCAGGGACCCCACCCTAGTGCTCTAGGAGCCACTGCCACAGCACTTTTATGACCTCCCCTTGGGTTTCCCCTGCGCCCATTCCCATCTCTACCTGTCGTCTCTAGCTGCTTCCTGAGAGCCAAGATAGTTAGCAAAGATCCCCTGGACTTGGTGGGAATTTAAACCAGGGTGAGGGGGCTGAGTAGGGAGCTGTTTACTAGTCAGCCAGCCAATCAGTCAATGTCACTGGATGGAATGAAGCTCCTAGAAAGGTACCTAGGCAGTCCCCCAAGGCCCTTTGTTCAGAGAGTCAGAATCCAACAGGGACCAATTCATAGCAAGCTATAACCCACAGGAGAAATGGGCAGCGTATAAGTAATGAGTCATGTGGTTCCGGCTGTAAAGACTCCAGGCCTCCAAATGAGGAGAGGGTAGAACTTAGACAGGGTCCCTGGCAGGGTAAGGCCAGATGGGGTACAAGGGAGAGAGAGGCAAAGATACAGAACAGGAAAGTCCTAGCATGATGGGAGGCAGTACTGAGGGAACTTTGGAAAAGTGAGGAGCGATGTAGAGGGGTGGGCAGGAGGGCCTACAAGCCAGGCAGAGGGCTACCGGCAAAGGTGGAGCTTGGCCAGGCCAGGGTTGGGGTGCGGTGCTCAGGCCTGGCGCTGCTGCTTCGTAGGATAATACTATCTGGCTCCTGCTAACTCTCTCCTGCTCTCACAGTGGCCGCTCTCTTTCCTCCTAATGCTCCGGCTTCTCTCTGCCTCAGGAACCTGGCCCACCTCGGCCGCCCCTCCCCAAAGCCTACGTCCCCCTGGACTCACCTCCTACCATCCCTCCACTCCCTAATGAGAGCCGCTTCTGGCCATACCCCAACTCCCCTTCCTGGCATTGCGGTGGCGAGACAGCCAGGGCTCAGGTACCCAGCTTCCTTGGGTTTTGGAGGGTGGGACGGTGTAGCGTGGGACAAAAACCCAGGCGAGGGGCAGGGTAGAGCCCTGGGGTTGTTTTCCCACTCATTCCCTTAAAGCTGTATGTCTTCTGGGCAACAGCCTCACAGGCCATCATCCCTTTTGCTTTCTGTGGGCGGTGAATTACAGCCCTGCCCAATCCTGGCTCATGAGCATCTGAGCATCTGATGGTTGTGTGTGCAGATCCCTACAATGGGATTAAACCAAAGGACGTGGAGTGACACCCTCCCCAGTGCCATCCCAGGCCCTTTCTGTCCCTGGCCCACCTCAGACCCCCGTCCTCTTGTGATCTTGTACTGCCTCTGTCTTGTCCTCTCTTCATTCCTGTTTGGGCTTTGCACCCCGGTCCTTAGTCAGGACAAAGAGGTGTATGATTAGACTTAAACGGGTTGTATGTTATAGGGAGACCCATGTTCTATCCAGACTCGGCCATATACAGTTTGTGTAGCCGAGGCCTTACCAGTGAGACACACGGAAGGAATAGTTACCATTGCATGTAGCTGTTACACCAAGAAACGGACAAGACTTGCCTATGGCCCAGGGTTCTGCTGGGTGATTGCTACAGTTTCAGACTCTAGCCTTATTTCTGACTTGCTGAATTTTCTATGAGGCTTAGAATCTTCGACTGTACAATAGGAAAAGTAGCTCAGAGGCTGCCTGAGGCTCTGGAAACCCACAAACAAATGCCTTTTTCACGTCCCGGGAATCCTGGTATCGAGGCCCGCCTGGTTCTTTTTACCTTGTCTGTATGAATCCCGGCAGGACCCGCAGGATTTGTGGTCCCCTCTGGTGACCCCTCCTGTGGTCCAGAGCCCACAGACAGTCTTTGCTTCTTCAAACTTTCCAAGACACCTAGGTTAGCCCCAAATGAAACCCCCCGTTGGCTCTCATTTCCAAGAGAACACAGTCTATGATAGATAGGTGAAACCCATCCTTGCCCCCTCCTGGCCAGCATCTATGCCATTTTCCTGCTTTCTGTATCTTAAAGGATTTGAAAGAAGGCATGAAGGAGGCCAGGTATCTAGCCTTTTAACCTAACCTCAGCCATCTTCTCATCCTGCCTCCCCAGACCAAAACAGGCTATGAGCCAAACAAGAAAGACCCCGATCTGACATCACCCCTGGACACGGCCAGAGATATCAGCCTCGTGCCCACCAGACAAGAGCCGGAGGCAGAGAAGCAGGCAGCTCTCAACAAAGGTATGTCTCAGCCCATACTTGCCTAGGTAAGGCTAAGGTACTCCCTCATGCTGGAGGAGGGTGCTCGCCATCCTCAGCCTGGGCAGCCTCTCTCCAAGAAGCAGACGCTCTGGCCCCTGCTTCCCCCAGGGCCCACTGGTTGCTCTGTCTCTCTATAGTTGGCATCGTGCCCCCTCGGACGAAATCCCCTGCTGAAGAAGAGATGATTCCATCAGCAGTGGTGAGGAGGGCCACCCATGGCCTCACCAATGGCCTGTCCTCACGGGTAAGTGCCCGCCTGCAGGCTCTGAGGGCTTGTGTCCAGTGGTCACGACCGCTCAAGACCCAGAACTGGGGAGGGAGTAAGAACACGCGGGAGTCATGGAAGATGGTCACGCTGAGCAGAACACATGAGAGTGTTTAGCATGCTGTGGGCAGGATGTAGCGGGGAGGGCAGAGGTCAGAGTGCAGTTAGTTCCCGAGAGCTCCTGGGAATTAGCGCATTACCACACACACACACAGTGGCTTAAAACAGCACAACAGTATGCTCCCAGTTCAGAGGCCAGAAGTCCTAAGTCAGGACACCGCCAATGTTGGTTCCTGAATAGTGTCTCCCACGGGCTCAGTGTCCATCACTCACATCACTATCCATTTCTTTGTTGTTGCTTTTGCTTTTTGAGTCAGATTTTCTCTGTAGCTTTAACCTGTCCTGGAACTCACTCCGTAGACCAGGCTGGCTTCGAACTCATAGAGATCCGCCTGCCTCTGCATCCCGAGTGCCGGGACTAAAGGCGAGCCCCACTGATGCCTGTTGTCCTCTCCTTTTTTAAAAAGAACACTCCTCATTGGATTTTGGGTACTGTAGTTCATGATGACCTCATCTTCAGATTCTTAATTACAACTGTAGAAACCTGTTTCCAAAACGGGGCATAGTCTCAGGCATAACGGGCTATGGTTCAGACATAACCTTTCGGGGATCACTATTCAACAACTGTAGTGCCCAATTTCATGGCATTCCACTTGAAAAAGTACTCATTCTATTCCAGGAACCCCAGAATCTCAACTCATGACATCATTAACCTCAACACCTCTTCTATTATTAGTTCAGAAGTCCCACATCTCCAGCCAGGCACGATGGTTCATGCCTGTACCCCCAGGACTCTAGAGGCTGAGGCTACACAGGCTATACAGGGATCTCTGGGCCAGCCTAGATTGCAGAATAAGATCCTGTCTCAAGAAACAATGACAGACAGGATTAGAGAGAAGGCTCTATGGGTCAATTTCTTGCTTTGCAATTATGAGGACATGATTCCTAATACCCATGTAAAAGCCAGGCATGAAGTGTTTTCTGCAACCCTCTCTACCTTTGGTGGTGTAAAGACAGGCATGTCGGGGAACTCACTGCCAGCCAGTCTAGCCAAAACAGTAAGCTCCAGGTTCAGTGAGAGACCCTGTCTCAAAAGAAAGATAAGAAGCCGTGGAGGAATAAACTTGGAATCAATCTCTAGCCTCTGCACATGTGTGCACAAGTGTCTGTATGCTTACACAAATTGTGTGCACACATGCACCCCTAACCCACACAAAGAAGGTAAGTCATCATCAGAATCATGTATAGCAGGCATGTATAACACTCCAGGTCATATTTATTATATGAGGCAGAATTCTTCCAAGTTAATCTGCTTCTGGTCAGCTGCTGTATACCCCGGGCTAGCCAGTCCTCGGGCTGCTGGAGATTCTTCTGTCTCTGCCTCCCGTCTCATCACAGGAGTACTGGGATTGCATGCATGTGTGCGTTCTGGGAATTCAAACTCAAGTCTTCATGTGGCCGTTTCCCCACTGAGCCGTCTCCCTACCTCCTCTGCTGCGGTGTTCTGTTGTGGAATGAATTGGCTCTAAGATAATAGAAACCTTCCCCTGTTCTTCCTTTATTACTTTTATTCCTATTGGCAGCACCTCACTGTATAGCTGGCCTCGAACTCACAGAGCTCCTCCTGCCTCTGCATCCTGGGTGCAGGGACAAAAGATGTGGGTCATCCCTCCCAGCTTCCCTTCTGTTACTTTCTCTTCCTTCACCAGAATCATTTGACATCCCATTTCCTAGTATCCCAGTCTTTACAGGCTTCCAGGGCTCCCGAAACAAACCTCCATGTAGCTTAAAACAACAGGAATCGGTTCTTCATTTGTGAGTGGGGTGCAGACAGGGCTACGGGATGATCCCCCCGACTCCTTCCTACGTGTGGATCCAGCTAATCGACTTGGCATTTGTTTGCATGTAGATGAATCCATCTTCATCACCCTCTTCCTGCTCTGTGTTGTCATGTTCTCTGTGTTTTACAAGGACAGTTGCTATTGAATCCAAGTCAGCTCTTATTCAGAGTGACCTCATGTTTCCAAATAAAATCACATTCACAGGCACCCGGGGCCAGAATAAACCTGACATATCTTTCTGGAATCAATCGTTCAGCCCTCTATGGGCAGGCTACCTACCGGAGGAATATTTTGAGCACTTGGAGAGATGGGAAACACCGTGGGGTGGGGGACACCTGGCCGAGCTTTGTACTGTTCTCACTACAGCAAGAACGCCCCAAGAGTGCTGTATTCTCTGGAGAGGGCAAGGTGAAGATGAGCGTGGAGGAGCAGATCGACCGCATGCGGCGGCATCAGAGCGGCTCCATGAAGGAAAAGCGGAGGAGCCTGCAGCTCCCAGCCAGCCCAGCCCCGGAACCTAGCACCCGGCCTGCCTACAAAGTGGTAATGTCCCCTCAGCTGCCCACAGACCTGCACCTGCTCTCAGCCCATGGCCAGCCTGGGCCAGGGAGGCCTGAGGAGAGAGAAGACTGAGCAGAGCCTAGCCGGGCTCCTGGGAAACTCCCCTGCATAGAGTTCCCTCAGCCCGTGTTTCCTCTTTATGTTTAATGAAAAGTAATGCCAAAAAAAGCAAAAGAAAAAATGATGGCTGTTTTCTGCTGAAAGGAAGTACTCAAACATTCATTTAGTGTTTAATTGAGAACGCTTGCTGCTCTTGCAGAGGACTGGATCTCAGTTCCTGGCACTCGAATCAGATGGTTCACAGCTGCCTGTAATTCTAATCACAGGCGATCCAAACCTCTCCTGGCCTCAGCACGCACCCACATATACATAATATATGTGCATATGCTCACACACACACACTTAAAAGAAAAAATTAATTTGGTAGATAATAGTGCAAAATCCATCATGTAGGAAGAACCATCACTTTTACATGATTCTGGATGCCTTTTGTGTGTGGTGGGGGGCATTGGCCCAGGTACCCTGAAGACAGCTATGGGGACAAGGATACAGGAATAGTAAGAACTGCCTGGAGGGAGGACATAGGTAGAAATTATTTGGTCACGACAGTCCTATTCCCCCAGGTGCGCCGTCACCGAAGCATCCACGAAGTAGACATCTCCAACCTGGAGGCAGCCCTGAGGGCTGAGGAACCTGGTGGCCAGGCCTATGAGACGCCACGGGAGGAAATTGCTCGGCTTCGCAAGATGGAGCTGGAGCCCCAGCACTACGATGTGGACATCAATAAGGAGGTGAGTGGATCCAGGATGGGGCCGAGGGGGGTGTGATGGCCAGGGAGGGGATGTAGGTGGTAACCTCAGGCCCTCCACAGCTCTCCACTCCAGACAAAGTTCTCATTCCTGAACGGTACATTGACCTGGAACCAGACACTCCCTTGAGCCCTGAGGAGTTGAAGGAGAAGCAGAAGAAAGTAGAGAGGATCAAAACGCTCATTGCCAAATCCAGGTGATAGGCCTAGACGAGCCTCCATCCCACCGCCCTCCCTCCACCTAGGCTCCTTGGGAACTAGATGTCTTGGAGGCACCGTGCCTCCCCAGGGTAGCGAAAACACAAGCAGTGGCCAGGGGCAGCAGACTATATCCAGGCATCTGGCAGAAATGAGGATGCTGCCCCTGGGACCCAGAAAGACCTGCTGGGCTTGTGTACAAACTGGAGGATGCCCCTGCTCGTCCTCCGCCCGCCCCCCACTTCAAGGCTGCCCCACGTGTTTACTTGAACCTTTGAAAATGTGTTTGAAAACATTGAGGGTAGGGGTCCCAACAGTCTTGCCAGGGTCTCCCTCGCTCCTAGGGACAGCCTTGCTGGGCACAGAGGCTGCACACACAAAGGCCCCTGGCCCTCCCCACCGACCTCAGCTGCAGGCCACCCCGAGCCATTTGGACCATGCTGTCCCTCCCTCCATGTCTGTGTGTCTGTGCCTCTTCAGTATGCAGAACGTGGTGCCCATCGGCGAGGGGGACTCTGTGGACGTGCCCCAGGACTCAGAGAACCAGCTGCAGGAGCAGGAGAGGCGGATTGAAATCTCCTGTGCCCTGGCGACCGAGGCCTCCCGCAGGGGCCGCATGCTGTCTGGTGAGAGGGGCTGGGCCTCGCTCTGCCAGGGACACCAGCTGACCAGGTCTAGGGGAGGAAATGCAGTACTGCCAGGGGTGCAGGCTCGGAGAGATGCCGGGCCAAAGGCGGCCCTCAGGGTCACATTGAACACTCGCTAAAGCCACCAGGTCTGGGCTAGGCTCAGTACAAAGGGGCTGACCTCCAGGGTTCCGTTCTCATGGTGCTCACAGCCTCTGTATGGAGGACGGGTCAGAGGCTGCAGGGAGCTCGGAGCCATCTGCCCCTGAGAGGAGAAGAGCTTGGTGCCTCCTTGGGAAGCATAGGCTTGTTTGCTCCCAGGGGTGAGGCCAGATGTTCACAGGTTTCCGTCTGATTTTCTTCCTTGCTATAAGTTGACAGACAAAGCAACTGAGGACCAGGAGAGCCATTCCCTTTCCATCTTGGCCACTGACCCGAATTCACTTTCCGGCTAAGAGACAAGGAAGAAATGAGCAAGTCCCACTTAGATACCTTAGGGTGCGGTCCCCACGACTGGTTTCCACAGGCTAGAGCAGGAGCATCCCAGAGGAGGGGATGCAGCTAGCTGGGCTTTGAGTGAGGGGGAGGCTGTCTGGACGGGAGGGGAAGGTAAGGCAGTAGTTAGCTCATCCCCGCACGGTAGGAGCATTTAATTTTGTTTTGTTTTTGAGACAGGGTCTGGCTATGTAGCCCAGCCTGGCCTGGAACCCTTGATCTTCCCGATTTTGGCTCGCGAGTGCCGGCATTAGTGCTGTGCACCGCCAAGTGTGAACTTTGGCGGCCACACGTTAGGAAGAATGTCATGAAATCAGCCATGGCTCAAGGTGACCAACACAAATGAGAGGTCCAGGTTACAGGCTGTAGCACGGCAGTCCCGACGAGGCAGGGGCAAGCAAACAAGGTGGCAAATGGGACACCTCCTCTTCCTCACTGCCTTTGGTTCAGACGGTGGGCACACGGGTCAGAAGCAGCAGATGGCAGCTCCTCGAGTGCACAGTGCTGGGGTTTCAGTACCGTGACAATGGCAGGTGCCACAATGCTGGTAGGAGCTATGTGAGTCAGTTAAGGGCTGAAGGGTTCTCAAACTCTCTTGAATAAAGCCTGGCTAGTGGCCAGGCAGGCAGTCAGGTAGGGCTACCAGATGAAGAGAATTCTGGGAAGTGTAGGCAGAAAGTCATCGTCACGCCAGGCCTGGAAGAGAGGACACCAGCCAGGCCTTCTCTGGTAAGAGAAGACCATGTAGAAATGCATGGGTTAGTAATTAAGACAGAACTAGCCAATAAGAAGCCCAAGCCACCAGCCAATAGCATTATAATTAGTATAAAAGTCTCCGAGTGTTCTTTGGGGAAGGGCGGCTGCAGAACCGGGTGGGAAATCACGCAACACCCTCCTCCATCCTGTTTCTAACCTTATATATGCACATCACAACCAGAGGGCTGAAAGTCACAACCAGGAAGATAGCAGTTACACCTAAAGAACCTGCTGTCACTTAGGGACTTCAGGTTGAAGGACTGGGGGATGCCCAGGAGGCTGCAGATGTTCCAGTGATGGGCTCTGTACAGGAAGAACCATCTCCTTTCCCCGCAGCTCAGGCGGCAGAACCCGTCTGGCTGCAGGCAGGGAGACCTCCTGTGACCTCTCCTTTAGTCACTGAAGGAACTAAACCAAATCCCACATGCTTTGGGCAAAAGCACTTCCTATTTCAGAAGGGCAGCCCATACTATGCTTAAAAACTCCCCTCCGGCTTGCCACGCACCTGGCTTTCTCCACTGTTATGCAACAGTCCAGGTTTCGTGAAAACAAACCTCTAGGACCTACCAGGTTTTTTCCTGGCAACACATGGGCTTACATTTCAGGGTCTGTGTGCGGAAAGCAAATGGCCATTGTGCTTTTGCCAACAATTCTAAACGTGGCTATGGTAGTAGGGCCAGACCTCAGACTTAGCCCGCTGTCCCTGCTATCACTGGCCCATGGCCCAGAGGCCTCAGAGCGAGAGCTAGCCCTGAGTGCATGCAGTGATGCGTAGGTTCATGCCCAGGACACAGAACAGTTGGGCACAGGTCCCAAGAACAACAGGCATGGCGGGTAGAGCTGAAAGGGCGTGTGTTTCGTGGACAACGTAACCGGTGAAGAGTGCTCTATCTCCAAGTCCAGCTGGCTGCTACATGCTGATTCAGAATGTACCAAGTGAGAAGAAGCAGCAATTCTGAGTCTGTGCACGGATGTCGTGTACACTATCTGTGTCTGGTAATATCTGCAGATGTGTGTCTGTGTGCGCGCAGATGATTGCTGTGTAGGTGGAAGCAATGTTTGAGGGCGAATGTAAGAATGCATTGCTGTGTGCGCGTGCGTGCGTGTGTGTGTGTGCACACGCGTGTGTGCACAGTATGCGGGTGGAGGTGACATCTACGAGTGTGCATATTTACATGTGAACTGGCTTTACATGTGTCAGGAATGGCTGAGGCCTGCCCCATATGTTGTATGCAGTGTATACTCCAGCACTATGGGCAAGTCTGTGTACAAGGTGAGAGAGGGTTGCACTCACAAGTGTGTGTGGCCCCTCACGCATGCAGATGTACATGTTGTTGTAGTTCCGCACCTGCGCGGTGTGTACTTGCTACACATTTGAAGTGAACTTGTTTCAGTGGGTGTAGTCTTGAAATATATATATACATATATATATATATGTATGTATATATATATATATATATTTAGCAGGTCTGTTTCCTTAAAGAGATAACGTCCACATAACCACCCTTCCCTGCCTGTTACTGCTCTCAATGTCTTTATGTTCCTGACTTCTGTTGAAGGCGTGGCCCAGCTGAAGGCGTGGCCTCCAGGAGCAGCAACCCCTCTGTGTGGCTCTCTCTGTAACTAGGTGTGGTCTTCCCTGCTACCCTTACCTCTCAGAAAAGGGATTCCCTTCAGCTGTGCCTTCTTAGAGCTACACGGGGCTTTCAACTCCCCTCTTTCTCTCCCTTTCTAGTCCCTGCTTCCAATCTATGGGTAGGAAAACCGATAGGTCAACACCTATTAGTATTGTGAATAGCAATGACTGGACTCCACAGGCCTCTATTTACCCATTGCACTAGGCAGATGCTGTAACATCTGTTTTGGCTTCCCTGGGAGCCTCCTTGTCTACTTGTTGGGTTTTTGACGGTTTTAGAATCTGAACATGGCCCATAAGTAACCCTCCTTTAGTGATACGGACATTTACATGAGTGTGTTGGAAAGCGTTTGTGAGTGTTTTGCCTATGGTGTGACAAGGACGTTGGGTCATATGGGAACATCGAGGCTTGAAAGGGCACAAACACATATTTAAGTTGTGTAAAGTGAGTGCGACCATGTGGCGTTGTCAGATCCCAGGCACAAATGGCAGTATGTGAGGGTAGACATGATCTCACATCCACTTGAGCAAGCTGGGCTATGAACACACTTGGGGACATGCCCATAGCAATAGTGGGAGCCACATGGGTCCTGAGTTGCACAGAAGTCAGAGAAGGTGATGCCAGGGTGGGGAGCAGGACTTGGAAGTTTGATGTCACCGCTTGGAAAAGCAGCGGGACTCCTGGCTGAGGTCTGGTTCCTCTCTGAGCCTAAGTGAGTGAGGAGGCTCCGCCATCCTTCTGCCTCAGCTACTCTGAGGATGTGCAAGATTCTAGTGGCCACTTAGAGGGCCCCCCTTGTCATTGTCTGACCCCTTTGCTGTTCTTCACATGAAATAATGATGATAGAGTAAAATCCCATCAGCCCAAATGTCACGATTTCAAAGTTCAAAATGCTTGCTCAGGAGTGGGCTGAAGGTCCTCTGCTGGGTTTGTCAGAGCAGGGTCTCTCGCGATTGTGGTTGCTACTTCTGAGCCCTTGGTCACACCAACGTTGACAAGAGATGGCTTTATGCCTGTTGGGAAACCATGCTCTTTGGAAATGATTTATCATGGTGGCTGTCCTACTGCTCTGCTGAGTGGGGACCCGATGCTGTGGCCTGATGTGGTTTTGCTGCACTATTGATCATTATCATGACTGAAACTGTCAAGGCGATGCGATGTGACACTCTGCCTGCACAGGGTGGAATACGACTCTCCCAGTGTGGATGGGAGAGCAGTCTTTGTCCCAGGACGGGGTGCAGCCTCGTGCACCATCACCCTGGTTCTTAGCAGAGCCTGGGTTTGGCCAGGTCCCCTCTGGGGCTTCGCTATCCTCCACTGCACCCTGGGAATAAAGACAGCTTTGCCTCTGCTTGAGCAAGCTCCCCAGCCCAGCTCTTCTCTCTCTCTCTCTGCTTGCCTCCCTGCCTTGCTTCCTGTCCAGGAAGTGGCCTCGCTTGCTCTGGGCGCCCAGTGTCCTCCCCGATACCCGTTGTCTTCTATTCACTGCCCTGTTCATTTCTGTTTCCAGTGCAATGTGCCACCCCAAGCCCTCCCACCTCCCCAGCTTCCCCGACTCCACCAGCCAACCCCCTATCGTCTGAACGCCCACGGGGCGCCGACAGCAGCCATACCATGCGGGTCTGAGCTCTGACGTAAGCACTTTTCTACGGTACTTTATGCAGCCCCCTCCCAGGGAGGGGGGCCGGGCCCTTCCCTCACCCCACTGAGTCATCCATGTCCTCTCATTGCTTTTCCCCACCCTGGTGCCCTGTGCGCAGTGTCCCCCTCCATTTGTCCGCTTGAGCCACCAATGTCACCGAGCAGTACTGGCTGTGGGTGGCTGGCCATGCTGCTTCTTAGATGCTAATCACTCTGCTTCTTTGCAAGCAGAAGGGGATGGTGCCAAATCCATTCCTGTCTGCTGCTTGGGAAGGTACTTCCCTGGCCCCTTACCTCTGGACCTGCCACCCTATACTCCCCATCTGCTAATTGGCTTCCATCTTTTGAGATCCATGGCAACCCTGCCACAGAACCCTAAGAAGCCCCTAGACGCTGAGCCCCCACTCCCAGACTTTAATGCAGCTGGGGCAGCGTTAGAGCCTGGCTTTGACCTTCCCTGCCTGGGCAGCACAGAGTCTTGCGTTAGGGATGGGAAAGAACCTGGCTTCCTACCCTCCCTCCCGCGCTCTCTGCCTGTAGCCCTGTGTTCTCTTCTTACCTGCTTTTCTTTTTTTTAGTGCTAGCCCTGGCTGAGGCCAACGCTGCGAAGCTCCACAGGGCCACCTTCTGACAGCACACCCAGGACTCTGGCTCCTCCTCCTGGCCTCCTGGCCTTGTACCTGCCATGGGAAAGCCTCGGGGAGCCCGGTTGGGGGCTTAGAAAGGAGCACAGATGCCTTGAAATCCACATCTGCTGCCCTTGCCCTGAAGCCTGCACTGTCATCCCATGGTCCAATGGCAAGGCCAAGGTGTCATCCTCTCTGATGCCCCAGGAAGTCGCAGGGAGCTCAAGTGCAGCTCTGGATGCCATTGTGTGGCCCTCGGGCACCATGCCCTGGTGGAGACTGTGTCCCGGTGGGGACCACGCCCTCAGCTACTATGGGTGAGGGGTAGAAGTGAAGACAAGACAGACGCTATCTCTTGGAAGCCACACAACACAGTGAGAGGCCAACTCTTGCCATCATCTTCCTCCCCCTCAGCCCCAGCTGCCTCAGCGATGCCCAAGGCTTTGACGTGGCTCTGCTGATGGATTTCCCAGAGTTCACTGGAGACCAGACGCCCTGCTTGAGCCAAAGAGAAGATGATGAGTGCTAGGGGGAGGCCCCTGGGCTCCTTGGAGGGGTCAGGCTATCGTGGTATGGATAGAGGACGGACGGCAGGTCTGTGCAGTGTCTGTGCAGGAGCATACGGGAGAGGAGAGAGGCTTGGAGACTGAAGGAAGAGAAAGGTGGATGCTTTCCACAAGCAACGGGGATGTAAGGAAGGAGGGAGAGGAGAAGTGGCTTCCCTGGGGTGGAGCCCTAGGCTAGTGCCAAGCAGAGGGTCTGACTGTCACCTATGTGATGTCACATCTTCCTCAGGGGCAGGTGGCCCCAGGAGCACTCGCCAGGCACGCGTCAGCCCCAGTCGAGGTGCTTGATAGCAAGGCGTGGAGAAAGAGAGTATGAGGGTGAGCTAGCCTGCGAGATGGCCCATGTGTGTCAAGGCCTGCCGTTTGTCTCTCTCCCAGCGTCATGGGCAGAGAGAACCGTCTGTCTGTCTGTCTGTCTGTCTGTCAGCCTGTCAGCCTTGGGGCCTTACCTAGCCAGTTCCCTGACCCATTCAAACCTGGAGAGTATTGTGAGCCAGCTGAGGTTTAGCCCTGGGAGGAGGGAATGGGGGTTTAAGTGTGAGACCAGGTTCTAGGTCCTTACCCCTCATCTCAGGCATCCAGAGTAGGACGGGAGGCTGGGCTTTCTTACGAGCCACCTACCCAGGGAGGACAGGACATGGAGAGACGGGAGCAGAGTATGTAGTCTTCCTCTGTCCCACCCGCCTTGAGTGAATGTAGCCAGAGCGCAGTGAAGCAAGGCCGGCTGCAGACCCCGCTCTCCGGGCCTGCTCTGCCCGGGTTACTGCCCACAGATTGCAGCCTGAGCATCAGTGGTGGTCCCAAGAAGCAACTGTGTCATAACCCATCGGTTCAGCGCTGCTCCTTCATGGTTTGGACAGTCGCTGGTTCATACGCAAGTAAAGATGGCAATTCATTCAACAAATACTAGTCAAGCACTTTTTGTGTATCAGGTACTGTTTTAGGTGCTTAGGATAGTGTCTTGCTTCAGAGGGACTCCAGATCGGGAGGGTTCCACCTGTATTCACCCTGTCAGGCTTCTGGAAAGTACTCCTTGGTGACATTCTCTATCTACACAGTCCAAGCACCCAAACCCTCAAAGAATGATAGGGTGGGACTGGCTCTCAGCTGAGCCTCTCTCCACGAGAAACAACGTTTTTAGGGCTTTCCCTGTGTTTGTGTCTCCTTCATATATATATGGAAAAAGGTATTTTTTAGAAATACATGTAAAATACCAAGAAACATATACGCCTATTCTACCACTCTCAGCCCGTATTTCATAAAGCTGGTTCTTTATGTTGCTTTACATGCCTTAATATATGTTTTATGGAAGTAACCATGTCATAGAGACCCATGTAATTTTTATATATATATATACATATATATATTTATATATGTATATATTTATTTGTCTGGATGTCAACCGTTTCTCAGCTCCTGCCCCAACCCGTTTTCTGTCCACGCCATACTTAGCATGTTGAAGCCACACCCCTTGCCTTTTTGATCCAAAGAAGGGGAGAAAAGATTTACTTTAAGGCAGACCTATTTCGTGCTTTTGTTTAAAAGCAGATATATATTCAAAGGGGACCGGTGGTGCGTGAGGAGACTGAGGTGGGTGTCCCTCTGCTCCAATGGCTTCCTTCCCCTTCCCCTGTTATTGTAAAGGGCCGGTCCCCAGGCTCATCCCAACTGCATCCTGCAGGAACAGTGCATTCCTTTGAAAGTCCTGATCTAAGAATTTGACTTCACTGTCAGCTTTAGGAGGCAGCCCAAGGGTTGTCAGGCTTGTGAGTCTCCTGAAGGAAATGTTTACAACTGCACACACGCAGTCCTCACATGGGCCCCCCTGGACCACCTCTGAGAACAGGCCAACAGATTGCTGGCAGCATGTGCTAGCCAGTTTGAAGGGTGTCAGTCTGCTCCCCGACAGACCCAAGGCGCAAGGTGAAGCAGAGAAAGTGGCTTGGAACGTCTGTGTTCTTTGGTGAACCATGAGCTCCAGGCCTCTCGCATACTTTCTCTCTCACCCATCTCCCTCTAGGACTTTCCCTTCTGGGAGTCGGTCGTTTCTGCACATTGGTCTGGCATCCAGACTTGAAAGCTTCATTCTTGGCTTGGGAGGGTCCAGTCATTGTCATACCTTAGTCTTTCCCAAGAAGAAACCCTTGGCAGGCTGGAGTTCTGGCCTGTGCTAGGTCAGCCTTCCACGCTTGCTTTGTGACAGGTGAAGTAAGCAAGGAGGTTCTAGCCCTGCTGGGACTTGGGCAGGATGGAGTCCTTACCCCATATCTGAACTGATGTGTTTGGGAATTTTACAGCATCCTGGCCAGCCCTTGATGCCAGACCATTTGTTGGCCCTCTTCCCAGCCGCAAGCCTCTTGCTATGAATGAACAGGGCCCAATGTAAGCCCAGGGCTAAGCAGCCCTTATGGAGAAAGTCCTGGCTACCCTCATAGGGTCTTCCCGATTAACACATTACCTCCTCCACCAAAAACCAAGAGGCTGCGATCAAATACTGCTACCGTCACTTTAAAGACTTTTGGGGATGCAAGCTTGCAAGCAGCAAGTGTGCTCTCCTGCCTTTATGGAAGGCATGTTCTTGGGGTCAGGGCTGCTATTGCAAGATGGAATCCCTTCCTTCCCCATCAGGCACCCTCCTCCTGGCAGCTCTTAAAAACTAAGGAAAAATACTATATATAAATATATATATATATACATATCTATTTATGCACATATTTGGGGCCAATTTGATTTGCTAGTGTTAGACAATAAATCATACAAGGAAATTTATGATCTCAGTGTCTCTATTTAGTATGAAAGTGACCTTAGACAAAGAGTTAAGGTTAGATGAACAGCGTCTCTGTTGGGACCACATGGCTGTAGCATCCCTTGAGCATCTGTCTAGCCAACCATCCTCCCCTGGAGAAGGGGGCGCCTGGCTGAGGTAGGTGAGAGCTTGCTCCCTCCTCTCAGTGGTGATCTTACTAGATTAGGCACTAAAGAAACCCTATGAGCTCTGCATTTGTTTCTTGCAAGTTTGTATAAATCAGTACCGGAAGTAAAATGAATGGTTTGTACCTACGGTGTGTGTCCCTTTCTGCATCCGTGTCCACCCTTAGGGATCCACAGTTTACAGACTTGATGGGAAAGGGGGCAGGGCTGAGGGCTGGGACAGGAGCAACACCTGGGACGGCTCTTTTGTTGCTACCTCTGATGAGCTTCCCAGCTTCCTTCCAAAGTGAGTACTCAGAGTTAGCAGTAGAGTGCCTTCCGTCTGGAGCTGGGGTGGTGGGCTAACCTCATCAGTCTGGAGCTGGGGTGGTGGTGGGCTAGCCTCATCAGTCTGGAGCTGGGGTGGTGGTGGGCTAGCCTCATCAGTCTGGAGCTGGGGCAGTGGGCTAGCCTCATCAGTCTGGAGCTGGGGCGGTGGGCTAGCCTCATCAGACTGAGGTTTGGGTGATGGGAGCATCAGGCTCTCTATTGGCACTGTCCTTGGTTTGCCTCTGACGTGGATGGTAGCATCACAGAAGGAAAACAAACGCCAGCGATTCTCAGTCACTGCACAGTGCTCTCTGACCGTTTTAGGGCATGAGGGTGTATTGGGGTGATGCTTGGTGAACCAGAAAGAGCACCTCAGTTCTCTAGGCTAAACCTTTGGCATTTGCCCGGTGTGAAGGGCTCTATTCAGCCTCCAGTGGAAAGTTTGAGTGAGGACATGGTGCGCACCTGTGATCCCAGTCCACAGAAACAGAGGTAGGAGGTTTGAAAGTTCCAGACCAACCTGGGCTACAGAGAGGTTTGTTTGTGTCTTCAATACACAAACAAAACAAAACAACACCCAGGCAGTTACCTTTAAGGCTGTCACACCCAGTCTCGCCCCTATAGCATGAGCAGGGGTGTTCTTTCTAGCAGGTTCTATAGGTTACTGACAGCCTCAGGGAGCTGTGAACCTGGTGTGAGTTAGGAAGTGTTGGGACCAAACATGGGCCTAAGGCAGACACCTTCGGGCAGGTGCAGTAACACACATCTACCATCGCAGCACTTGGAAACCGAGGCAGGAGGATCACGAGTTGGAAGTCAGCCTATATAGCAAGACCCTGTCTCCAAAACAATAAGACAAAAACTTGTGGGGCCAGAGAGGTTGTGCAGTGGTTAAGAATACTTGCGGCTCTTGCAGAGGACCTCCAGTTCCAGAGAATTCAGTGCCCTCTCCCTCCTAACCTCTGTGGGCACCAGGCATGCCTGCTCACACATACAAGCAAAATACACACTAAAGTAAAAATCCATCTTCAATAATTCAGGGCAGGAGTGATAGCTCCACAGTTAAAAGTCATTCTCCCAGGGGACTTGAGTTAGGTCCCCAGCGCCCACAGCATGTGCCTCTCCTGGGATGAAGATGCCCGGCAATTTCCAGGGGCGGCACAAAAGCCTCCCGTAGCTGCTCTGGAAATGTGTGTATGATTGTTTATTTCTTAGGTGTGGCGGATCATGCAGGCTCCAGACCCTGTTCGGCCAACCCCTTGGTCCCTGTAGGCCAGTGGTTCTCAGCCTTTCTAATGCTGAGACCCTTTAATGCAGTTCCTCATGTTGAGGCGCCCCCCACCCATGAAATTATTTTTGTTGCTACTTTATAACTGTGATTTTGCTACCGCTATGACTTGTAATGGAAGTGTCTGTGATTCCAACGGTCTCGGGCGACCCCTGTGAAAGGGTCGTTGACTTCCAAAGGGGTCTCGACCTCTTGCCCATAACCTCGGGTGTGGTGCAGTGTGGGGTGTTCTTGGCACAAAGATCTGGACAGCTGACTGGATTCTGCAGCCTCAGATTTCTCACCTGGCAACAGCGACTGCTCCTAAGACGTTCTCCAGGGAAGGGAAAAAAAAGCCCATGAAAAGAGCCACAGCACATTGAAAACCTGAATTCATTTACAATCCGAACAGGGTAGTGGTGACACTAAGAATGTTCCTGAGCTGCCTGCTGGGCATGACGACCGGACAGGACATCATGCTCAATAAGATCCCTCTTGCACTAGCCTATGAGTTTTGTTTTTTCTGGAAGACACTCTGGCTGGCCAGACTCCAGGGCTCTCTCTCCTGCTCAGCCATGGGTCTGTAGCCATGTCACTCTTTCCCGAGGTGGCTAGTTGAGGAGACAGCCACAGGCTGGGGATCAGCCTGGCCTTCTATGGCCAAACTCCTTCCTGCGGTTGCCTTTGTGAAATGCCCTCCCCAGGAGGGTGGACTGTGAACGCCCAGCTCCAGTGTCCGGAAAATCATGCCAGGGAAAGTCCACTTCTCCCAGGTCCCAGGTGGCCTCTGATGGGAATGACGACCTAGTACTTCTAGCTGATGTCTGATATCTTTGGAGAGAAGTTTAGAGCCACAATTTTGGGTATAACCGCCTACTAATAAAATTAATAGAATTAGTAGGATTAATAGTAATCAATAGAATTATTTTAACTGTATTAGAATGTTAATAGCGATAATTCATTAAGTGCTTACTCTGGCACAGGTACCCAGATCTACACACAGGTATATAGCTACCCAGTAATGCTCATGATAGCTCCCCTCCCTCCAAGTGATAGCTACTATTCTTAGCCAAGAAACCGAGGCACGGAAATTTTAAATAGAAAGTCTAAGGTCTCATGACATTGGAGTTCATGGATTTTAGTGGCTGCCATACTGCCCCCCAGTGGCAGTAGGAAGATTTGCAAGGGAGTCTTAGGTTTTCTCAAGTATGGATGGAAAACTGGCTAGCTTTTAGTTGCCACACTGCACAGGACAGGATTCCAAACCCAGTCCTCCGCAAACCACTTTAGGGTGCATGCCTGAACCAAAACGTACTTCTCATACAAGCTGACCCTGCATTAATTCATCATACCACTAAAAAGTTTGTGTGAGACGTTAAGCTTTTGAAAACAAGTTTCATGAACAGTTCAGCAAGGTTATTGAGAAGAAACTTGAGTGGAATATGACATAGTCTCCCCTTAGGTCTGCTATAGGTTTTACTCTGATGAGTCTGGGCCCCTAGCATCTCTCATATGTACTAGGACAAAGCCAAAACAACAAAAAACCAAACAAACGAAAACAATGACTAACACATTTTCAGAGATGAGCCAGGCTGAGTGTGGTGGCACATGACTTTAATCTCAGCAGAGGCAGGCAGATCTCTGAGAATTCAAGACCAGCCTGGTCTACATACCGAGTTCCAGAGAAGCGCGCAGAGACCCTGTCTAATGAAAGCTAAAGTGTGAGGCATTCCATTTCTTCCCATACTCTCTACCAAAACAGGTGAGAAACCCCAGGAGTGCCTAGACCCTTGCCTTTCCATACCCAGTCCAAACTGTTCGGAGGAGGTGAGCCAGAAAGGGCCTTATGAACGTTACTTTCCCAACAGGCCTGTATCTTTAAGTAGCCATTCGTGGGGAACTGGAAGGGCGGGAGTTAATGATTTACCAGAAGCTCCTTCACTGTTGCCAAGGGTCAACTTCCCGGGAACATGCCCAGGATCGGTTCGCTGGCCTCACTACTAGCCAGCTGATGAGGAAGGCCCCCCAGTGGACTGAAGCATGATCTCCATCACCGAGTGGCAGAGTGAGTGGACTGACGGTCGGGGTGCAGGGGTATGTGAGCTATAGAGGGGGTCCCTGGTAAGATGAGTGAACACGTGCTCTTCCGCTGGGACCTACAAGTGTGACCTCTGGAACCAGCAGTTGGAAGCTGCTCTGTTGGCATCCTTGAAGCAGCAGGCTCAGGACTACTGTGACCTCTGCCTTGTAGAGGGTGGGGCCAGCCCAGGCTCTTGGGCCATCAGAGGCAAGTTCACAAGGCAGGCTGAGCCCCTCTCATCCATAGTTCTGGAAACAATGGTGCCTCTGCCCATTCAGACATCTCCCCAAACCCTCAAGGTGCCCTGTGGCCCTGGGTTTATAGCCTCACTCCAAACACCCCTACTTCTTTAGGGGAGAAGGGAGGTGGCAGCCCCTCGCCTGGGAAGAATGAGTTAATCATGGGGAGGACAGAGCTGTTGGTTTCACTGGGTGAGTTGCTTAGTCTCTGGGCCAACGTTCTCCTAATTTCTCCTCAGTGGCCCCATGATAACTGTCTGCGGTGTACCAACCACTGTGCCAACACAGAGCAAAATGCTAAGACAGGCATGCCTCCTGTTTCCCTTCTAGCAAGACAAGGCAGGCCATCAGCTCTGGAAAAAGTGACTGTAGCAGATAAGATAGTAATAGGTACCCCCTGCCAGCCTAAAGCAAAACAGAGTGAAGGGGCCTGGGGTTTGACGCGCCCGTGTGTGTGTGTGTGTGTGTGTGTGTGTGTGTGTGTGTGTGTGTGTGTATGTGTTCATTTCCATCGGCCAGGGAAGGCTTTGCTGGAAAAGGCCCTAATGCCGATGACTACAGGAAGCCAGAGGGTAGGCTATGCAACTGTCTGCAGGAGAGTGTTCCAGGAAGAGGGAACACCCAGCATAAAGATCCCGAAGCATTACGTCCCGTGGAGTGGAGGCCCAACGAAGAGGTTGGTGCAGCTGAGAACAGGTTGAAGGGAGAGCTCGGGTAAGGGAAGTCCCGCAAAGGCAGCCCACGGTGGAGCCCTGTATGCATGGGAAAGCGGAGAGGGTGCTGCGTGTGAGAGGTCTGACCTCTTTGCAGTTTAGGAGCGCACTCTGTTTGCTGGAATTCTCAAGAATAGACTGTAGGGGGTAGGATAGCAATGAGGAGGCCTTTGGAGGTGAAAGAAGGCAGGAGTCAGGACATGGGCAGTGCAGATGGGAAGCAGTCCTGTGTGACTGTTTGGAGGAATTTGCTGGGAGATGGGATGTGAGGTATGAAGGGATGAAGAGTCAAGGATACCTCCCCGGTACCCACGCAGTGGACTGGAAGCGGGAGCCAGATTCGAAGAGACTAATGGAGGCTGTGCAGGGGGTGTTGGAGGGGATCCAGGATAGAGAAGAGGGTGGCTGGGGCGCCAGGGAGGAGCGTGGCAGTTCTTGGACGCTTCTGTTCTGGAAGCAGCCGCCTGAGATGTGAGACAGGAGGGTGGCAGGCGTCTCACGTGACTTGGCAGACAGTGGCAGTGGGGACACTTCCACAGGAGGTGCAGGATAAAGAAAGGAAGGCTGATCACAGCTTGGGACCAGTGGCGTGCAGCCTGCCAGAGGGAAAGCCAAGCCAACAGCCAAGCAAGCAGTGGGATCTCGCAAGTCCTGGGCGAGAGAGATAAATGTAGACATTGTCAGTACACATGCAGCATTTAAAAACACAGGAAGGCATGGGAAAACAGAGTGAGGACAGACAGGAGCTGGGCCCAAACCCTGAGCGAGCCAAACCGTAAAAGAAAGGAAGTAGGTGCTGGCAAAGGAGGAGGGGTGTGGCAGAGGTACTGGAAGGGGGAGACAGCTAGCCAGCAGGAAGACAATCAGAGAGCATCCTGGGAGCCAAGAGAGGAGACTTCAACCAGTGGCCGGGTGCTCGCTGCCAAGGACCGGCACCTGCTTGGAGATTTGTTACTGGCAGTTATTAAAGGCAAAGCAGGGACAGTTTATGTAGAAGTGGTCAGTGTCACTTTCCAGAGTCTCAACTGTATTCAAGGCCGAGGTAAGCGGCATACCTCCTCTGTGAAGTGGAGTTAAGCACAGCCCTTTCACAGACGGTTATGTGGAGTTAAGATGTGCACTCTGCCCACTCTGGCATGAGCATCAGCTAGCTACCCATCACTATTGCCAACCCCTCTTCTTTCTCTCCAACAGTTCTGCCTGAAGGTCATTTGGCAGAACATGAAGGGGTACTCAAGGTGGGTGGACAGAGTGCTCCATGGCTAGACAAGATGAGACAAGGCCATTCCCATGGGGTAGAAGCACCAGTGTGTCACCTGAAGGGTAAAGGTGCATCATTAGTGGTGGTCAGGCTAGAAGTAGGTTTGCCCCCAGGCTGCTGTAGGTGTGCACGCTAACATCTGGCAAGTGGCTCTGCCAGTGAACTCTGTCGTGAGAAAGTCTTAGACTCACCCTATGAAGGGACAAAATAACTGGCCTGAATCTTGCGTAGATCAAAGTCATGTTGAGTACCGATTGCGGAAGTATCCCAGACAGGCGCACTGAAGATGGCATGTGTTGGTGGGCTGTGTTCTTTTCCTATGGATGCCTTTACAGGCACACATGTGTACAGTTTGAGTGGGATCCAGACAACAGAAAAAATATATGTGTTCATTTTCTGTTTTGACATCTGTATCTTGTCTAGCTGAAGGGTGACGGAAGGACACTCCAAATAGTTCAGGGTGACACCTACTGGCAAGTATGTGAGGACAAAAGTGTCTTAGTAGAGTACTTAGAAATGCTGGTACATTGTGATTGTAAAAGAGAAAACGGCTCCAGGCTGACACAAGAAGATCACATGAGTTGGAGAAACGATTACTATATCATTTCTTACACATGCTTGAGCCAAAGAGACCTATCCACCTGCTCCAGGTGACAATGCCATGCCCTGCAGCAAAAAGGGCTTTGCCTGATGCATCCTAAAAAGCTATGCCCTGGTCACCTGGCTCTGGGCTGTCCCCAAGGGCTGCAGGCTGGGGGCTCCTCCCAGCAATAGTTTGGGACACTTCAGGACCTAGGGACCCGACGCTGGAGAGTTGGAACTCAGACACAAGATGACACTCAACATAGGGAAAGCCAAAACTGGGCATTCTGAAGCCGGGGAGGTCTCTACCCTTGTTTGGCAGTGGCCTGGAGCCAGCCAGGCCATTCTCAAGTTTCCCTTATTCCTCGCTTTCTGCTTTGTAACTTGTGCAGCAGGGGGCGCACTTGGACCTCTGTCTGGATCACGGGACCATCACCTGCAAGCACTTCTGTCATTCCTGTGGATCTGTGTATCTCTATGACATACCCACCCAAAACCACCTCCTTCTCTATCCTGGCTGCTATCCTGAAAGGAACTTCAGATGCAAGCCCCCCCCACTCCCCAAATTTGATTGAATCACCCAACAACAGTAGAAGCAAACGACGGGGTTGTTTTGAGAACCAAACTTCCTGACACTTGTCCATGAGCACGTGTGTGATGCTGAACGCTGGAAGCAACTAACTAAATGTGTCCTATTAAAAAAAAAGGATGGTCCCGGAAGAGGAAAATTCTGGAACTGCACCAATATGAAGCCAGAAAGTGATCATGGCACAAACCACTATTAGAGAATAAGGAAAATGAGCTCGCTCAATGGGGGACACCTGTGATGCCAGCATTGGGGAGGCTGAGGCAGGAGGACTCTCCTGGGCTACACAGCAACATTAAACCTCACAAGCTCCAAAGCAATTGTTACGTGTATATGAGAAGACAGAGTGTTGGGTTGATTGGTCCCTTGGTTTAGGTTTTTGGAGACAGAGTTTCCCTCTGTATGTAGTTCAGGCTGGCGTCAGACCTGCAGAAATTCTCCTGCCTTTGTCTCTTGAGGCTGGGTTGCAGCATGCACCACCATTTTGTCCTGTGTCAGTGTTCACTCTGTAGCCCACGCTGACCTTGAACTCACAACCCTGCTGCCTCAGCCTCCTGCGCCGGGGATGCAGCCACTCACACTGAGAAGGGCATGAATTCTCATGTGCCTGTGCCGGTGGATCATTTCGGACTTTTCCATGGTCTCGGGATCCTCAACACAAAGCGTTCCTCATATCGGTTCTCAGAATCTTGTCAGGGACTCAGAGTGGTCCTGACTACCTCTAATGACATCAACACAAATCAAACCTGAGAAACTTATTTGACTCCATTCTTAAGGTACACAGGGCTGGTATACAGATATTTTAATAGTACAAAACAAATAGCAAAACCACGGTCAGATCATGTGTCCACATGGCAGAAGGGTATCTCATGAGACTGGAGTCATGATGTATACTTTTCTGGCCAGTGTAAGGAAATAACAGACTTTTGTTGTGGTTGTGGCTGCTCTCAGGCAGAGTCTCTCTAAGTAGCCCTGGCTGTCCTGGAACTCACTCTGTAGGCCAGGCTGTATGTAATTCAGAGATCCATCTGCCTCTGCCTCCTGAGTGCTGGGATTAAAGGTGTGTGCCACCACACCCTGCTGATATATTTTTATAACATTGTATATATTATTTTGTAACAAGTATGCAAACTTAAAACATGCCAGGGATGGGGGTGAGCATCCACAGTCCCAGCTATGCAGAAGGCTAAGGAGGGAAGATTACAAGTTCAAGACCAACCTCGGCTCAGTAGATGAGAGTGCTCACTGCTCTTCCAGAGGACCCATGTGCCAGCCCCAGCCCAGAGGGCTCATAATGGCCTGAAACTCCAGCTCCAGGGTACCCGACAGCCTTTTTCTGGCCTCTGCAGACTCCCCCACACATGACATACAACCATACATCACACAGACACACATACTTACACATAAGTAGGAATGAAACTAAAAATAATATTTTTTAAACAAGTTTTGCCAAGGATGTGGGACACCTCATGCCCTGGGGACAGGGAAAGGAACTGGCTGCTCTGGAAAACAGCTCTGTAGCTTCTCAAATATCAGAGAGGGGAATTACCATGTGGCTCAGAAATCACACGTCAGGATATAAACCAGAAGGTCTGGAAGAAGGCTATTTTCATTTGTTTGTTGAGACAGGTGCCCTATAGCCCATATGATCTAAAATAGTCAAGGACGATATGGACTCTCCATCCTCCTGCCTCTGCTTCCCAAGTGCTTGCATATTACTGACCTGTACTGACATGCTCATCTTTGAAAGCAGGATCTCAAAGGGTGTGTGTGTGCATGTGTGCCTGTGTGTGCCTGTGTGTGTGTGTGTGTTTAATGGCACTTCAAACAGAAGTAACTTTTTATGTTTCATTTCCTCTATGTTTATTTTATGTGCATTGGTGTTTTGCCTGCATGTGTGTCTGTGTGAGGGTGTCGGGTCCCCTGGAACTGGAGTTAACTGGAGTTACAGACAGCTGTGAGCTGCCATGTGGGTGCTGGGCATTGAACCTGGTCTTCTGAAAGAACAGCCTGTGCTCTTAATTTCTGAGCCAACTTTCCAGCCCAATTTTTAATTTAGTTTTTAGTTTTTAAAGGTAGCATAGTGAACGGTCATTTGTTGTCTGTCACAGTGGCAGAGTCAAAGTCTCCATGAGATGAGAAGGACACCAGGCCAAAGAGCCCTTGTGCTATCTATTATTTCTGAGGGAAGGGTCAGAAGTACACGTCACATGCCCAGAGGCTAGCCCTTGACCAAACAAGTCCCATATATACTTCCGCCGCTGCTCATTGGTTCTGTTAACTCCCCTATCTTTGAGGATGCCTGTGGGACATTGTTAATGAGTGGGAACACTGTTAGTGGCGGTCAACACTGTGAACCAATGACTCTACTGAGCTGAAGTTAGGGGAGGCCAGGGGTGGGGAGGTACTTAGGCCGCTGCCGCAGGATGGCTGAGTGTGTTGCTAACCGATGGCTTCTATTTTCCCAGTCCCCTGTGGCAGGTCAGCACTGGGGGCTGAGGAGAGAGGAGAGGATACACGGGTCCGGGAGCCAGCCAGGACCTGGAGCTCACGGTCTTGAGTTTTCAGCCATTTCTGTCTCCTCACTGGGTGCTGCCCTGGAGCACTCAGCTGTAAGGAAGAATAGAAAGGTTATTGTGTCCAGCCCAGGCTCAGCCCTGAAGACAATGTGCTGTAGGTGCAGAGATGAGCAGCATTGACAAAATGTGAGGGCAAAGCTTCCCAGGAGCCCAACAGCTCCTGCCTATCTTCCTTCCCCTGGCCAGCCTTCCCCTGAGAGCCTACACAGAACCCCTGACCTGCGCCGTGCGGAAGGAAGGAAAGCTGGGTCTCTTTGCTTCTTGCAGAGATCGGTGTGGGCATCACCGGCTTCGGTACCTTCTTCATCCTCTTTGGGATACTCCTGTACTTTGACTCCGTACTCCTGGCTTTTGGAAATGTGAGTCCCCCAGCACTAAGTACCTATCCTGGATGGCCCAGGAGGGTCAGCCCCAAGTTCATTCAGATCATAACCATTCAGGGTAGATGAGTGGGGGAGGGGCAGGGGGGACGACAGCGGGATCTGTGGGCATGGAAAACCCGAGATGATTACACCAAGCTCCAGGTGAGGTCCTGGTGTCCCTGTGGTGAATTAGACCCCATCCCCACCATTGAATCCCTGCATTCAAAGATAAGGTTCTACCCGGCACCTCCAGGGTAGCTATGGGGAAAGCCAGAGTAAGATAAACACTTCGTATGATACCAGGGCTGAGAGGAAGGAGTGGATGAAAGACAGCTGGGAAGGAACTGAAGGGTAAAGCCCTCACAGGTGGTTGGAATGCCAAAAGAAAATGCATGATGGAGGCGTGGGTGGGACACGGAACATACTAGAAGAAAGACTTCAATCCTGTGGGAGCCTGGGCCCCCATAAAGGGACCACTAGGAACCTTGCTGAAGGCTCTGGCAGAACCACATAGTGGGGTCCCCTTAGGGACTTTGGGTACCAACTTCTTGGCTGTAAAGGGGGAGGGTCCCACTCCACAGCAGCCTACCTGGGAAGAGCTTGAAACTGGGGAACTGGGGTGGAGCTCGCTCTCTCTGTCCTCGCTTCCCTGGGCCTACAGCTGCTGTTCGTGACCGGCCTCTCCCTCATCATCGGCCTAAGGAGGACATTTTCCTTCTTCTTCCAACGACACAAGCTCAAGGGGACCAGCTTCTTCCTGGGGGGTGTGGCCATGGTGTTGTTGCGATGGCCCCTGCTGGGTATGCTCCTGGAGGCCTATGGATTTGTTAGCCTCTTCAAGTGAGTATCACCCCCCCCCTCAGCCCCAGTGCACTCTGGGTTAGGAAGAAGTGCCCAGGCCAAGATTCAAATCTCTCATCTCCCCACTCATGGAGGACACTTGGGGCAGCCTCCGCAGGGAATGCTGGGCCCACATGGACACAACCTCCAGCCGCCATCCATGCCAGAGGCTCAGCCACTAGCGCAGATGTCCCCCACCCCATCTAGCAAAGAGGGCATCAGTAACTCACAAGAAGTGTGCCCTTTGCGCTTGGCATTGTGGGAAGCCCTCCATCGCAGGTGCCAGTACTGCTAAGCATGACTGAACACTGGCCACGGGCTCAGAGGAGTGAGGACCTGTCAGTAAGAGGCACAGCCGCGATGTGACCGCGAGAGACCCAAGCCCAACCGACAATTCTCATTACTTTACTCCACTACTTCTCTCCACAGAGCCCAGGGCACGTCTGTCCCCAGGGCCCAGTGGCCGCTGTCCCAGGAGCCAAAGTCTGAGCCTTTGAGCAGGGACATGTCAGCCTTGCTGTCTCCCCCGTCCCCTCCTGGGCCACCCCTGACCCCATCCTCTCTTCTATTCCTAGGGGCTTCTTCCCTGTGGCCTTTGGATTCCTGGGCAGCGCTTCTAACATCCCTTTCCTGAGCACGGTGAGGACATGAGCCGGGGGGTTGGCGGTGCTATCTGTATTGGGAGGTCACAGGGAACCCGTTAAAGTACTGCAGCAGACCCCCCCACACACACACACCACCCCACTATCTGAGACACACCCACCCCAGCTTCACCATCCGCCCCTCCCCGCTCCCTTCTCCATGTGCTTAGATCAAAAGCGAGGGCTCTGTAGGCTGGAGTGGCTAAGGTGTGGGTGGAGAGGGGCAGCCATTAACAGCTGCCCAGACAAAGAAATGATGATAACTCTAGGTGACCCAGACAACAAGTATTTCTGGGACACATGGTTGAGTCTGGGCCACGGGCATTTACGACACTTGCTGACATCAAGTAAAGCAGGGAGCAGAGCCTGTTCTGGGCCCACGCCCACCTCTGAAGTACCTGACAGGCAAACACTGGTACACCCAGGAAGGGGGCCAGAACCCACATCTTGGGGCGCCTGGCAGCTGTGCCCCCCCCACTCTCCAGGTGTAGTGCAGCATAGCCCCCTCCCCCATCTCAAGGCCAGCTGGGTAATAGCCTCGATATTGAATCCGCGTCCCACTCTTTGTCTGGAATAATGATTCTTGGCTCCCACAGCTGTCGCAGAAGTTTCAAGGCTCCAGCTCAATGGTCTGAACCGCGGAGATGCGCTCCTTGAACTCGGATCGTTGGTGGAGGGGCTGGAAGGGGCATGGGGGTTATCTTCATGAGCCCCCTCCCCAGCACTGACTGACTTCCCATCCCACATGGGCATCCCCAAGTCCAGAAGAAAGACGGAGCCAAGTGACTGATCTTAAGCCCCCAAGTTCTCTCAAGAGGCGGCCAGGAGTTGAGATCCTGGCCCTGATACCCAGCTGAGGCTGAAACCAACATTCCCAACCTGAATTTATGCAGGGGAGTGAAGATTAAATCCCCAAGCTGTTGAACGTGTCTGAGATTCGGGGTTGATGTCTCCAGTCCAGGATATCCACCCCAGCCCTAGGGTGGGCTTGCAACACCACCTTCCACCCCGATCCTGCGAGCTGTAGGTGCAATCCGTGAGAGTCAGACCCTGTCCTTGATGTATTTTTCATGTTGGTATTTAACATCCTGAAGGGGTTGCTATGGTTCTAAGCCTCAATTAACCTTAGACAAACTATGGGCACTGACCCCACACAGCATCAGGAAGAGATTCTCAGCCATGATGGGGACAAGAATCTCAGCTGTGAGGGGACCACTCTACACGGAGCATAACAGGTAGGGTTGGTGCAGAATCCACTTTCTGTATGGAGATGGATGGTGCCATTGCCTTCAGAGAACCCAAACCCACAGAGGAGCTTGTCCTTGTTCTGCACAGCCCGACATTTCATGGTCAAAGAGTTTTTCTTTGTTTTGTTTTTCTGAGACAAGGTCTTAGGTTAGCCTGGAACTCGTGAGCATACTAGCTTAATCACCATACTGGCTTAAAAGGACAGGCTATGGTGGCCATCTTTTAATTCCAGTACTTGGGAAGCAGAATCAAACAGATCTCTGTGAGTTCAAGGCCAGCCAAGGCTGCAGCCAGAGCCTGTCTAAAATAAAATAAAGAAACAACAAGAGCAAAACCCTTAAGGGAAGGAAGGGGGTGGAGGGGAGGAGCCCCTTTCTCCCCCTTCCTCCATTTGCCTAGCAGTGGGGTAGGTGCCAGGGTTACCAACGAGGAAGCTGCCCCTTCCCTTCAGGGCCGAGGGCTCCCTACTCTCTGCATCTACTTTCTCAAGGCCAGTTCAGCAACACCAAGCACAAAACAGTACCTTCCTTTTGTAGTAGTATTGTAATCACTGAGAGGTGGCAAGGTCTCACTATGTAGAACAGGCTTCTGCAAGCTCATGGACACCCTGCCGATGGTTCCCAAGTGCTGGGGATGTGTCCCAGCCTGGCCTGAGACTCTCTGTATGTCCCAGTCTGGCTTCAAACTTAATCATCCTTCTGCCTCAACCACCCGGGAGGCAGAATTTCATGTACAATATGCTATGATGAGCTTTATTTTCCCTCCTTATACCCAACTGCTTATATAACTGCCCAGCACACCTGACCATGTTGTGTTACATGCAGGGGCCCCGTAATTAAGGAGGAAAGGAGGAGAGACCCCCCCCACAGCCCTGCCCCCACGCTCAATTCACAGCCCAAGAGCCAGCCTGATGGAGGCTGATCTGACCTGGCTTTCTTTCTGAGAAGGCAGCATGTGGGTTCAGGAAGCCTCTGGGTCAGGCTGTGCCCTTCCTCTCCTCCTTCAGCCTGTGCCTCCTATTCACGTGTGTGTGTGTGAGTGTGTGTGTGTGTGTGTGAGTGTGTGTGTGTGTGTGAGTGTGTGTGTGAGTGTGTGTGTGTGAGTGTGTGTGTGAGAGTGTGTGCGTGTGCGTGTGCGTGTGTGTGTGTGTGTGTGTTGGCAGAGAGGGACAAGACGTTGACGCACTTCCCAGGCACTTTCTCTTCATTGTTTGGGGGCAGAATGAGTCTCCAGCCACAAGGGAGGGGCTGTGAAGAGGATGGAGATGATGGAAAAATTAGTGAGATCGTGAGAGCAGCCTTGGATGGTTTCTGGGGGCGAGGAAGTTGCTGGCTCCAGACATAAAGCCAGGAGGTGGAAGCCAGTGGCAGGGTGTGGAATCCCGGGGAGGGTCTGGGAGGGCAGAGGTGGGACCGTGCCTGGAGACGTCACCCACCTAGACTTCATAAAAGAAGCTGAGATCAGGGAGCCAGAGGGAGTAAGCCCAGGAGCCAGTGGCTTCTCTCGGTTTGTTCCAACCATCCGAGTGGCTCTTTGCCCTCCAGCCCTCAAGCCAGAACCCAGGCAAGGTAGGTATGCCGCTGACAGCACCTGGGGCTATGCCCTGACCCAGGCCACCTGAAGCATCAGGTAAGCTGAAAGCAAGGGCCACTGATTGCTCCTGATTGCCAGGCTAGCCGAGTTATCCTGGGATGCCTGGCTGAATACACTGGCCTGAGCTGTGTGTGGTGTGTGTTCTTTTCGATTTTCAAACAGTTCAGTTTTACCGTATACATCACATGCCCTGTAGGCGAAGCAGTTAATTAAGAGTTATCAGGGCCTGGGGTGTCTGTATGTGTGGCGTGTGTGTGGCATGTGTATAGTGAATGGGGGATATGTGTAGTATGTATTTGGGGTATGTGCATGGTATGTGTATGTGTGTGTGTCTCTGTGTGTGTGTCTCTGTGTGTGTGTGTGTGTGTGTGTGTGTGTGGCTGTGTTAGGGGCAGGCAGAGTCCTTGCATGCTACACAGGAGAAGCACTGTGCTGTCCATGATGGGGTAGAGTATTACAGGGACAGGGAGGCAGACATCAGGGTCACCAATCTCCCTCACTTACCACCCTGCTCTGCCCAGAGAAGCCAGGAGACACCATCTTGAGAGCGTGCCGATATAGTCCTGCCTTCCCCCCTCCCCTTTGGGATAGAACCTGGGATGGCTTTCTCTCCACAGGAAATCTAGCTTTGTATCCAGCAGCCCCCATGTCCAGCCCTGACTGCCATTCCAGCCCAGGCAGATCCCCTGAGGTGAGTGGCTTCTGCGAGCCCTCTTCATCTGGTGCACATTTGATCAGATGATACCACCAGCCTGGGCCCTCCAGGATGGGCTTCTCAGCTGCCATCCCCTACACTTTAACATGTGTCTGGTGTGATTTTGAAATGAGCTACTAATCTAAGCTGGCTATGCATCAACTTCTTACACTGGATTGAGATCAGGAGTACCCTGTGTCAGCATCCTCAGCATCCTCAGCATCCTCAGCATCCTCAGCATCCCAGCACCTAGCACAGTCCTAGTCTGCAGATAGTTTCCAGCAGTGCCTTATACTGGCCCTGATAACCAAGGCTCTGCCTAGTGGATTTGGTCTCTACTCCATATTCTATTCAGGACTTAAGGCAGCTGCAAAATGTATCTGTCTTTTAGTCTGCTCATCTTAGTAGCCATCTGAGCAGGCACCTGGTGGCCAGGCTAATCAATGGTGCCTGGAGATGGGTGTGGCCTACTCATGACTGGTGGGATGAGGAAAAAGCAAGATTTTTTTTAAAAAAAAAATAATTTATTTGCATTGGTGCTTTGCCTGCATGTATGTCTGTGTGAAGGTGTCAGATCTTGGAGTTATAGACAGTTGTGAGCTGCCTTTTGGTTGCTGGGAATTGAACCAGGGTCCTCTGGAAGAGCAGTCAGTGCTCTTAACTGTTGAACAATCTCTGCCTCAAGTTAGGGTTCTTATCCTCCACATGCGCAAGTCTGCAGTTGGATTGAGGGGGTGCATGGTGCTGAGAACCCAGTCCTACCAGTCGGTCAAAATGACCAACCCCACTCCTGTCCTCAGACAGAATCTAGATGCAACTGTACCACCAGCCTCCTGGGCACTTTGTCCTTAATCCCATTCGTTGCACAGTTTCAAAGTGCTTGACGACTTTTTCGAAGGGAAATTGGCCTTGGAGCTGGAGAAAGGCAGAGTGGCTAGATGAGGGTCAGGGTACACAGCTCCTAGCTCAGCAGTCAAACTGATGAGGCCAGTTTAGTTGACAAGCTCCCAGAGCCCGTGAGAATGGAAGCAGCTAGATGAGAGAAAGGCTCTTCCTGTCCTGAATCATAGGCAATAAAGCAGTTTGATGATGGTCTCCAAAGCTGCGGAGAGCTTTGAGAATGTGCAAGATGATTGCCTTTTTCTTCCTTTTTTTTTTTCCTGGAAGAGATAAGGAAGTGTGTTTCTATTATAGCAGGAGGGACAGGGCCAGATTGAGGAAAGTGTGTACAGAACCCAGCACAAAGAGGAGAAGAAGGGCTTGGTCCCAGGCTCCCAGGAGAACAGCTGAGCCTCAGAGCACACTCCGTTGACCTCATCTACCTCCCCTTCCCTGACCACTCCCATGCACTGCAACTTACTCTCCTGCATCCCTCTCCAGCAAATCCATGCCCCACAACCCCACAATTGTCCAGAAAAGCCCCTCACGCCTTCCACCAAGCCTGGCCCTTCCTTTTTGTTCTCTTCCCTCCTCCATCCTTCAGTCCTGCTCCCCGTGCGCGGACTTGTTTCGGGCGGACGTATCCCTCCGCAGGTCGACTCTGGTCACAGGACTTTCTCCTCTCCCCCAGGCTCTCTCTTTGACCAAGGTTCTGGTATGGAGCCTGGTACTCACTCTGACCTACTCTTTCTGGCCTCTGTCTCGCTCAGCCTCTGGACACATCGTGGACGTGCCTCCTGCCGCCAGAATGACTGCATGGGCGTCTTGGCAGTTGCTGCTTCTCCTCTGTGCCGCCACCTTTGGGGAGCCACTGGTGAAGGTGGCACCTGTGGCGAAGGCAAACCCTGAACCCACAGGTAGGCCCAGGAAAAGGGGGCACGCGAGTCATTGCACATGTGACTTACTTACCATGCTTTCCAGACTGTAGCCAGGCTACTGACATGAGTTTAATTACTGGACTTGATGGACAGCTGGGTGCCGGGAGCACAGAAGGCTCATCTGGGGGCAGGGGGCCTATTCACCCCAGCCCCTTTGTGATCATCTCCTGCTGTGTTCTCTGTTCTATTGTTCTATACCAACCACTTCTCTGTATGGATGCTGGGAAGGAGCTGAATGTGTGAGTTATTTTTATTCATGACCTCAGATCCCTTAAGGATGATTGAAAAACATACAAATGAAAAACAAAAACCTCAACACACAGACCTTAATGCCTGTCAACCTTAGGAGTTCACTGGGGGAACTGATGAGCTGGGAAAACTAAAGTCCAGAGAGGCCAAGTGTTCCCCAAAGTTATTCAGCCAAATGCTGACCAATCCCAGCAGGTGCCAGGGGACCCCAAGGGTATGGCTGCTGGTCATCTGATTTCTGTACATATTAGAGCTTGCTCAGCCTCTCTGGACCTCAGATCTTAGGCATGCGAATGTCATCTAAAGCAAAAGGGGGCAGGGCCGCGGACACTTCACCAACGGTGTCGTCATTCCAGGGCAAGGAATAACCCCCACCCCCACCCAGGGACTCCGGCTATTGGCTCTGTCTGGCCACACAGTGTGAGGAACTGAGGTCTTCTCTCCCACACAGTGACGGTAGCAGAGGCCTCCCAGGTGGTTATTATTAATCCTGGACCACATCCACACTCATCTCCAAAGTGTGCCAGGGTATTGAGGAGCAAGGCTCAATGCCATCCAACACCCACTCACATCAGGCCTCTTTGCTACTAACCAGCTATAATTGACTTGACTTATTGTGTACGCTGAGCTACTTGCCCTGCTTTACTGCCAAAGAGAGATGGGGAGGGGCGCGGGGAGTTTAATGATCCTTGCCTGTGAAGTGTTTTCAGAGCCGATCTTGTTAGCCTCCAGCAGGCAGGAAAGGCATCACAGCTGCCTGAGGAGTTGTACCTGTTAGAGCCACGTAGATGATGTCTGGTGGTCGCAGGTGTGAGGACACGATGACCTTGGCTCCACTTTTTTGATTTGCCAAGTTTTTCGTTAGCTTTTATTTAATGAGCACCTATTGAGGCCCTACTATGTGCAGAGGACTGTTACAAGCATTCTGATAAATGGATTTCCCTCCCTTACCACCCCACCCCACATTCCAGGCGTTCCTGAGCCACCCAAACTCCAGATACAGACACTCAACTGAGGGACCAAGAGCCCAGAAGAGGGCCAGAGCAGGGTGTCCCCCTTCATACTTAGGTTTTCTTGATTTCCAAACTGTTTGCTTCTTCAGAGAGGCAATTTAATAAAGTTTATTTTAGGAGAATTTTGGCAAGAACTTGAAAGCAAAGCTACTGAAGGAAGGAGGAGAAAACAGCCCAACCACCCTAACCAAATAGCGCTTTGGCTCCGCACTGGCGTCAGAGCCGAGCTTCTGGGGTTGAGGACCCAGGGCCAGCATCAGGAGGTCGGAGCTGGTGTCCAAAGCAAGCCTTGTCGCCTCAGCCTCACTTGCTTGTGCTCTCTGTCCTAGGACAGCGGCCAGGACCCCAGGAACTCATCAATGCCTGGGAAAAGGGCCCTCGGTGCGCAGAGAGGAAACCTGGGGTTGCAGGACTGCGAGCACGTCGGACCTCCCCGTGCCCACCAGTCGAGAGCTCCGCGGGGCGCCAGCGGCCGGTGTGCGCCCCTGGCAGTCGCCTGATCCCGGCACCCCGCGGAGCGGTGCTGGTGCAGCGGGAGAAGGACCTGTCAGCCTACAACTGGAACTCCTTCGGCCTGCGCTATGGCAGGCGGCAGGCGGCGCGGGCAGCACGTGCAGCGCAGGGCTGAGTGCAGGGCGGTGGGGGGATTGCCGCCCCAGTCCACCAGCATGCAGGGCTGGGGCAGGGGACTTCGGGACTGTGGCAATAAAGTAACGCTGCTGTCTCACTGCATGCAGTTCCTCCCTGACATGGGTCAGGTCCTCTCCTCTCTCAGTTGTCTCCTAGCTGATTTCAAGATGCTGGTGCCAAAGTCGGGGCTTTTGACACCAATAGTTAAGGAACGCCCCTGCTGCTCCCCAGTCTGTTGCAGCTCAATTCTTTGAAAATATAAAATAAAATAAAATAAGGGGTGGGAGAGATGACTCAGCTATTAAGAGCGCCTGTGGCTCTTCTAGAAGATTCCAGTTTAACTCCCAACACTCAGTGGACACAGCCACCTGTAACTCCAGATCCAAAGCCCTCTTCTGGCCTCTTGGACATCTACCCACGAAAGGACAGACACTCAGACAGACAGACATACACTAATTAAAACTAAATCTTTACATTTTCAAAAAAATGAATTGCTGAAAAATTTAAAACCTAAACAGGTGCCCAAATTGGATACCACTTGGATACTTCAGCAAGATCAAGTTTTGCTCTTTTTTGAAAAATACCTGTCTATTAGAATGGAGTTTTTTGTTTGTTTCAAGATAGTTTCACTATGTAGCCCTGGCTGGCCTGGAACTCACTAGGAGCTAGACAGGCTGCTTCTACCTCTTAAGTGCTGGGATTAAAGGTGTGCCCACTGCTCCCAAGCCGGAGATCAAGTTTCTCTAAAATGTTCTGAAGCTGTCCTCCTAGTTCTGTATAGCAAGCTAAATAAGAACCTGGAAAATGATAGACTGATGGATGTTTACTCAGGGAGAAATCACTTACACCAGAAACAGATGGCTGCCGCAGGTTCCTGTCCCAAGGATGCTCTCCGTCTCCAACCAGGAAGTACAAGAGCAAACTGGGGTCTGGGACACCCCCCACCTCCCCCACCCCCACCTCCCCCACCCCCGGCTCCCGCTCACGCCAGCACCCGTCCCCAATGCTCCAATGGGCGTGGTCATTGCAACAGGGTGGATGTCTCACTACAATTTCCCTTTTAGTCTAAAGAAAAGATTTAGGCTTGATACAAAACTATACACAAAGACACTAAATATCAAGTGTGCGCTAGGAAAGGGAAAATTAAGAGCATACAAACTTAAGACCTATTGCCAGTGAGGTAACAAGAGCAAATGGCAAGAACTACAGTTCTGAGATGTCCCCTGTTTGCTGGTAGAAGCCTTGCTGCACACTTTGAACTGCGGTGGAGTAGGACACAGACCCATTAAATTCCTTCCCTTCATTTCCACCTGGTAGCCAGTCAGTTGGACAGAATGGTCTGGAAGGTAGTGCCAGTCACTGCCCTGTTGGCAGAGGATTAACTATCACCTGAGCCCACCTCCAGGCTTCTGTAAGACTTTGAGGTACAAGGGACATCTACAGTACCCTTCTCTCCCAAGGAAGCTCTTTGCTTGGGACTATCCCAGCATGGGCATGCCTTCTTCTGGCCTTCATAGTAGCATGCAGAGGACCTGAATGATAAATGACTCATCAGGTACAAGCCTGTGACAGTGAGCCTAATAGTCACAGCTGCACCTTCAAGCCTCTTTAAGAGGAAAGGGTTCCCATCTCAGTCAACTCTCTGGAACCCAATAGCTGGGGAATACAAATTTGGGTAGAAAAAAGGAGAGCTTGTCATTAGGAAACCCCAGGAAATCTACCCTCCTGCCCACAAGACGTGTCAGCCTAAGCTGACAGCCTTGGGGTTCCCTAGTTAACTTTCCAGGGGATTATAGGGTCTCCTTACCCCCCCCCATGCTGTGAAATGACACAGAGTTCTGCCCATCACAGAAACCAGAACTACACAGGATGGAGGCAGAGCTATGTTGCTATGGCAACACAATAGGCTGTCATGAGAACATGACAACCTGCCCCCATCCCCATCTTTATCCTTGAAATTGCCCTCCAGGGTCTGCTGTGAGTTCGCACTGAAGCATGTGTGTCAGTATCATGACATTGTTGCTATTGGTTGGGAAGGGCACTCTGATAGCTTGGGAGCCAGTCCTTTTTTCTGATGAGCCCTGTAGCTAATTAAGCCTATATGGGTCTCTGAACTCCACTCTTAGCCTAATTGTTGTGAAATTCCTGTGACTCCCTCTACCCATCCCTTTGCTGTTGGGGCAGACAGGAGGGTTGCCACTTTAGAGCCAGGACAGTGTGGTATGTTCTCTGCTGTGGCAAAGCAGGCCTCTCTCTGTGTGGGACTGGAGTGGATGAGAGACACTGCATACTTGCAAGACTCTGGGCTTCCCAGTTCTCAGCCTCGTGTCTCTGGAAAGGCTGGGGTCTCTATGGGACACAAGAGCTCTTTGGGTTTGTGTAACTCCAACCGTAACTGCCAACCTGGTCTCCAGATTGAAGGAAGAGCAAAAGCAGAAGGAAAATGCAAAGGGTATAATTATAACACACTCCCAAGGGTGCCAGAGCCCTCTCCAGAGCTCAAAGACTTGAAGGCAGAGAGGCATAGGGGCTCTTGACCCTAATTCCCTAGGGCAAGGCATCTAGAGGGCAGAGCATCCTTCATTGTGGGGGGTGACTCGTCCAGGCTCCACCCTTCTTGGGTGGTCCTCCCATCCCTGAGGGGGAAAGCCAGGGGTAGGAGGGGAACAGGGAGATTTTGGCCCCTAGCATCATGCTTAATATGCTCACAAGCAATGTTGAGTACCTATAGTTTGTCAAGCAAAGGGTACCTCATTCTGTTCTCACAATAGCATATGAGATGGGAATTACAAGCTGCACTCACAAAACAGAAAACAGGCTCAGAGAGGTAGGTGAAATGTGCCCACATGTTGTTCCTGAAAAGGCATACAGTCAAGAGGAAGACATATTCCCACATGTCCACCTTCTATCTGCACTCAAGGTGGTCTTCCTATAGTCTCTCCTTCTCCAGCCCCCACCCAACACCCTCCACCCCACTCCTGTCTGCCCAAGCATTTGCCTTAGGATGCAGACCCAGGAGCCAGAGTGACACCACAGATGAGACTCCTGGTCCTCAGGACAGGAGCACCTCACACCTGCCTTTTGCCATGTAGGCCCTCTCTCTGTCAGCAGCTTGCCTGGGCTCGTGTATGGTCACAAGAAGGCTAAGGACATCAAGTCCAAAGAGCTAGTGTGCTCTCTCTCCCAACTGCTTCTGTTTCCCATCTTTCCTCTTCAAAGATGTCAGAGCCCAACCTGGCTCCTTGCTGGCTTCTCTTGTGGGATGGGAGTAGTTACGGTCATCACCTCAGGCTGTGCTTTCTTGAGATTTCCTTAGTATCGGTCTGACGTAGTAAGCCACTATCCCTTTAGCACATCCCATCACAAGAAGTAAAAAGCCATTTGTGCCTGCTGATTTGTCCACATTCTAGGCCTTTCGTTTTAGTCTTTCAAAAGCCAGTGGAGGAGTGGGGGGGGGCAGGGAGGGGGCAAGCCCTTGTGTTCGCCGCTTTGCCTGAGCAGTGTTACTTGTTGACAGGAAGAACCTCAAGGAGCAAGGGTTTATTTTTGGCTCACAGTTTGGGATGAGACAGTCCTCGAAGGCGGGAAAGGCAGGATGGCAAAGACTGGAAGCGGCTGTCACATCGGCTCACTTCAGCCTGGAGCCCACATTCACAGCAAGTCTTCACTTCCCAGCTAAAAGACTGTGGAAATGTCCTCATAGACACATAGAGGTGTGTTTCCATGGTGATCCTAAATCCAGTCATGTTCAGGACAAGAATTAATCGCCACAACTCCCAAGGACAGAGAGAAGGTTTAAGAAGGGAAATAAATAAATGTAATTAAGACAAAGCAAAAAACAAAACAAAACAAGCAAACAAACAAAAAAACAGAGATGTCTCAGTGGGCTAAGGCACTTGCTTCCAAATCTAACAACCTGAGTTCTATTCCAGAGACCTACTTGGTAGGAGAGTAAAGCCTCCCACTGGCTGACCTCTGACCTCCACAGGTAAGCATGCATGCTAGCACTCAACCCCCTCCCCACACACATGCAACAAAATAACAAAGGTAATTACCACACATTTACAAAGAAGGGAAACAATGTCAAGATTTTGAGGCTGGAAACTACATCCGGTGGAAGGGGCGGAGCAAAGGAAGCTGCTACTACAAAGCCAAGAAGCACTCCAGACTCTTGAACCCAGGACCCAGAGCTGCATCTCTGGATGGGAGGTGTTAGGGGAAACTTGGCTGCAAACAGGAGGTTGGCTGAAAATTCGGTATCCAGACATCACACCTCCTTAGTGTGGTACCCTTCCGCTCACATCCAGCCAACACGCCCAGCCTTTCCTGCTAGCTAGGAACCTTCCCTGGAACACAGAGCTTCCTCTCCTGAGGGCTGCATGAGACTGGGGAGAGCCCTGTCTGGGCAGGTAGAAACTGGCTGTGGGGAGGGGCTGTGTGGATGCTTCGGTAACACCTGAATTCCTGTACTGCCTGAATTCCTGTTCTCTCTCTGCTCCAGGGACCCAAGCAAGCAGCAAGGTTTATGTCTCTGGACAGGAGATACAAGTCCAGGGAACAGACCTGCCATATTGGAGAGTGCCCCAGACAATGGCAGCGCAGAGACCAGCTGTGGGCACAGCCAGGTGTGAGCATTGTTAGTGCAGTTTCCAGACCCTTCTACCTGCCTGGCGCTAACTGTATGAGTAGAGAGATAAGGAGGCAGAGGACCCCAGGAAAGCAAACGGAGAAAATGGACAACGCACAAAGTGCAAAGGACATTTTCTTTTTTCTTTCTTCTCATGTATTTGTTTATTATTTTTTATCTAATTTATTTTGAGACAGAACCTCTCTACATAGCCCTGGCTGGAACTCAGTTTTTAGACCCAACTGGCCTTGAACTCACAGAGGTTCACCGGCCTCTGCCTTCTCAGTACTGGAATTAAAGGTGTGCACCACCATACCCAGCCAAGGACATTTTAAATGTCCAATTAAAACATGAAATTTACCATCATAATCATGAGTTAAGTGGGTAGTAGCTCAGTAGTATTAAGTATATTCCCATTTTTGTGCAACAAAACTTTTCCTATCAG